TGAGCACAGATCCAACAAAAAATAAAGTCACAATAGATGGTTTGGAACCTGGTACCCAATACATGGCCTGTGTTTGCCCCAAGGGAATTCCTCCCACGAAAGACCAATGTATCATTTTCTCTACGGATGGAATAACTATGGAAGAGGATTCTCAGATTTCCTTTTTGCTTGTGGCCAGTGGCATAGCTTGTGCAATTGTTCTACCCCTCATATTTTTTCTACTCTATAAAGTCTTAATGCTTCACAGGAAACCCAAATCTACCCGGGAATCTGACCTGGAAAAAGAGACGTATGTCAAATTTGAAACGCTTTCCCTTAAACCACGTTCGGTGGGGGCAGGTGGAGAGCTCTGGGCTCGAAGGAATACTGAGGAATCAGAAAGACTCCTTCTTTGCTCTAGGTCAAGTATGGATTCTCAGATGACCTTCAAGAGTGAAGGTTCAAGGTCAGAATATTTCTGCTGACTAGGGATATTCAGTGAATCAGCCGAAGATTATGACTGGGAGGACTCAAAAGAGTGGCTATAGACTTGTGTCTAATAGTCTTCTGCCAGTTATGAAACATGAGCATCAACACAAAGAACATTTCTATCAGAAGTCTGTGGTAGAACATAAGGAGGGAGAAAAGATGCCTCTTAACAACCTAACTTTTTGTGACTTTTATTATTTTTGAAGCATTTCTGACTTATTTATATTGTCTTTTTTATTAATTTCCTGATTGTTGTTTAAGCAAAATATTTTGTGAAAAGCATGTTCTTCATTCTTATTAATTGCTATTCATTTTTGGTTTTTATATAACCTAAATATAGGAGAATAGATTTTTAAAATCCATATTTATGTTTTCCCCATTTAAAATCAAAATGCTAGACAGCCATGCTTGAATAGTTGGTGAGAAAGAAAAGGTGCAATCTGACATGGAACAATCCACTTAAATGAATGTAGGATTAATGATTTAATACTGTTTTGGATTATGGCCAAAATGTTAGATGATACAAACATGGATCAAATTGTGGAATCCTATTAAACATGCAAAGTTGTCATATGCAGTCAATAAGTATTGAAATTAAGGGATTGTGCTAGACTAATCTGGTCACAATTTGGTTTCACTGAATGAATTAAAGCTTGCACAAATCTCTTGGATTCAGCCCAATTACCCCCAAAATAATGGTAACTTAATTTTTCCTTGTGGGAAAAATTCCTAAACAAAATACAATGAATATGTTTTGAGGACACCTTATCATCATTACGAATTTAATAGAAGAATTAACATGCGTTATTTTGTAAGACATTAGTGTTGTATTTCAAACTGGGATTTAACTAAATAAGCATGCCCTGCAAGTGTCCCTATTTGGGAGATTTGGCCTCATACATCATGAAAATGCCATGAAGTCAATTTGCAGCCCCACCTCATTTGGCCCATGCTGGTGAGCCTTTTGGGTTGCTTTTCTTCACCGTGATATTTGATTACCTGGTACGTAGCACTGTCATCTCAAAGTTTATGGGGGGACCAAATCATGTCACTTATAACTGAGACTCTTCTGATTGTGTATTGCTATTTTTCCTTATAAACTCTTGACTTTTGGAAAATACTTCTCTGCCTATACATCTGTTATGGTTAGAAATCTGGAAAGACAAACTACAAGATGTAACTAGTGGTTAGCGTTTCTCCTCACTACTTCCTTTTCTTCCTCTCTTCTGTTTATATGTTTTTCAAAAATGTGGGGTACAATGTAGAAAGGGCCTTTCAGTGGTTCCCAACCTTTGGGCCTCCAGGTGTTTTCGACTTCAACTCCCAGAATTCCTAACAGCTGATAAGCTGGATAGGATTTCTGGAAGTTGAAGTCCAAAACACCTGGAGCTCACTAGGTGCTTATATTTTTCTAACTACAGGGCTTAGGAAACTTCTCTCCAAACACTGCTATCCTGTGTGCATTTTCCTTGGAGTAGCAATTTCCACTGAAGAAAGTGGGACTCACTTACTTGCCCTGAATTCCATTGCATCCATCTATTACAGCAGAGTCTGGCTTATCCAACCTTTGCTCATCCATCGTTCTGTATTATCCAAAGTAGTCTGCCTCCAGCCTTGATCCACAGCTGTTTCAATTGTGATGTTTTGGTGCTAAATTTGTAAATACAGTAATAACTACATAACGTTACTGTGTAGTTAACTGCTTTTTCTCTCGATTTGTTGTAAAACATGATGCTTTGGTGCTTAATTTGTAAAATCATAATGTAATTTGATGTTTAATAGGCCTTTCCTTAATCCCTCTTTATTATCCAACATTTTTGCTTATCCAACGTTCTGCTGACCTGTTTATGTTGGATAAGCGAGACTCTACTGCAGTGGTTCTCAACCTGGGGTCCCCAGATGTTTTTAGCCTTCAACTCCCAGAAATCCTAACAGCTCGTAAACTGCCTGGGATTTCTGGGAGATGTAGGCTAAAAACATCTGGGGACCCCAGGTTTAGAACCACTGCTCTACTGTATTTACAATTCCCCAATATATAAATTAATCACAGAATTTAGCCTGGCTTTTTTATTAAAAGATTTCAGGTGACAGACAGCTCTGCATTTCTCACATGTCAGCATTAATGCAAGCATGGATATATTCCAACTGAGACTTCTAAGCAAGAAATATGGTGACTGACACCTCATTAATGTTCTGCAATGAGGAAGACCTTTGGCAAAAGCCATGGTCAGAGGGTCAAAGGGAAAACAAGAGGATCTATCCATGAGTGTTTGGAATTCTAGTGATTTGTGTTTACTCATGAATTAATGTGGAATCTAGATGTATGGATGAAGGAAGGTGCATCTGTGTCCATGCCGTGAATGCAGTCAATCTGATCTGATGGACACTAAACTTGCAACTTATTTTCTTAAAAGAGTAATTACAGAGAAAAATAATAAAATAATTGTTAATAATAAGTGGCACCAAGAGCTTAGGTTTGACATCCGTTGGGTAATTTAGTGATTCAATAGCATCCATCAAAAATAAATTTGTGCACAAATTGAAAAGTCTTCAGATAGATCTTTCTATCTTTTTATATAGGGAATAAGGGCATTACCTTGTCAGAAATGATGAAATTTGCTTCTCTTGTCATCTATATTGTAATAGAAAAAAACTGATCAAGAACTAAGACATTGCTATGGACAGCTACACAAACATCAAGGAAATAATTTCATGCATTTGTTCTCTGGACAGGAGAGTGTGACGCAGCTTCTAATCAGTATTTCATGCTCTTCATTTTCCAAGAGCCCATCAGCTTTTGTCACTATATGCTAAACTGATCCAACATTTCTAGGAATGGCTCCGATGCTCACAGCTGGAACATCTCTTTGGTGCTGCCAAGATTACCAGCTGCTACAATGAGCCATTCCAGTCTAATTCTGAATGTTAGGATAGTCAACCTGACATTTTACAAGCATTTGCTTAAACAGTCCCAGATGAGGTGGTTTACTAAGCCACCTTTTAAAGCGTGAACAAATCAATCCAGCAGATAACTTTGTCTTTCCTTTCAGTTCTGCAACACTGAGACCTGAAAGTTAAGGAATAATTTCTGTTCCACTGCAACTTTATTTTAGGTTGGAACACTAATTAAGCATCAACAGGGCTTCTACTTGTGGGAGGATGCTAATGGCCTGAGGGATTTGACATTTTAAGGCTCATTATAAGAATTTGCCTGGGGATCCCAAATACAATTGTCAAGGAAAGAACTTAGATTCCAGATGGCAGGAACTATTTTGCTTCTTTGGCTACAATGCTGCTGTGAATTGTCTGTTGCACTGCTGACTGTAATTCTAGTTCTGGTACCAGTGTATAAGATACTGTAAATAGCTGGGCCATAAGGCCTAAGTATGGTGGCCATGTGTCCTTTTTCAAAGAAGGCAGACTTCTGTTTGAAAGCATGCTGTCTAAATGGCTGTCTAGTCTAAGGTTGGATCCATATGGCAGCACTATAGCAAATGTATCTGGGAACTGTAGTTTGGTAGAATTCCCTAACACACTCTTTTAAATGCACCATGAAACAACAAATCACCGTGTTCCATTTTTTATCGTCTCAGAAGCGATCCGAGAATATACTGCAAGTCACCCCTGGTACGAGGGAATTGGTTGTCTGCAAGGATGTTGCCTAGGGGATGCCTGGATGTGTTATCATCCTGTAGGAGACTTCTCTCATGTCTCCTCATGGGAAGCTGGGGCTGACAGATGGGAGCTCAACCTGTCTCGCTATTTGAACTGCCAGCCTTCAGGTCTTCACATCAGCAGTTCACCTGGCATAAGGGTTTAACCCATTGCGCCACCGCAACTCCATAAATAGGGCCATGGCAATTAAACTGGTATTAAACAGCTATCATTGTAGCATGTATCCATCCCACTTCTGACTGAAAACAATACAACAAAAGGAACAATTATATAATTTAGAGTTTCTAAATCATCATTAGAATATGAACATTACTTGATTACAGTTTTGGCAACATTGGGGGGAAACATTGTTGTTGTTTTTTAAATAAGGGAAAACCATTCAAAATTTGCATCTCCATGCAAAAGTTTATTGAGGTTGGTTGTGCTTTTTGTTTTTATTGATATGTGATGAGGTTAGCCTAGGCTTCAATAGAATCATCACTTCTTTCCATAAAGCATTATAAGGGAAGTGCTAGATGGCCAAGGGACCCATGTTAAAGAAAAGAAATGTCTGAATTAATGGATAGAGGAGAGCATTGTGGGGCTAGAATAGTTTCTGGAAGGAGTTTCTATCTTGGAGTGCACCTACGCTGTAGAATTAATGCAGTAACATCGCTTTAAGTGCCATGGATCAATGCTCTTGAATCATGGGAGTTTTACTAGATCTTTAGCCTTTTTTTTGCAAAAGAGTGCTACTGCCTCACAAAGCTGCAAATTCCAGGATTCCATAGCATTGAGCCATGGCAGTTAAATGGTGTTAAACTGCATTAATTCTACAGTGTAGATGCACCCTTCGTCTATAAAAGTCATCACCATCACTACTGCTCTGTATGTGTGTGCATGAATGTGTGAGTGCCTAGCTGTACTTTGGCTGGCGTCCCTCACTTTCTGTGTGCAAATAGTAGCTGCACTGGAGTGGCACTAAAAAGGGAAGAAAGGGTGGGGTGGGGGGAAACAAGCTATAGAAAGAAAAGGAGAGAGTCTGTCTAAAGTGTGCTTCAAAAGAAGCCTATATTTTCCAGCCTGGAATGTCCTTACCTGCTTATGCTGAACATACTATTTTCAAACATTTCACAGAAGATCATTTTCCTTTTACAACTAATACCTTTCAACAACTACAACAACAACAGCATCCCATTTCTTCAACAATTTTGTTTTAGCTTTGGAATTTGCAGCAGCGCATGTGATCTTTGGGTTAAGCCATGTTAAATTTGTAACAAGAAGGTCAGGCATTTCATACTTGGCTTCCAAAAAGAAAAAAGAGAGAGAGAGAGAAAGAAAAAAAGGACAAGGAGTGTGTGCATGCATACAGAATTGGTCACCCTGGGATTTATTCAAGGGTACAAGCTGTTGACAGCGAAAACCTCAAGGAGAGCAAAGCTAGGGAGATGTTTCTCAGACAGCTGTTTTTTAGGTAGACGGTGCACCTTGCAGATTCACTTGCTGGGTCTTGAAGATGACTGAAATCAATTGAAGAAAACACTGTGTGCGGATTTACTTGAGACAATGTTTCTCTTTCTCACATTTATTTGGCATGTCGTCAGTACAGTAAGTTTGGTCAGTTTGTCAGCTCAAGAACAATGGAGGTGTCCTATTGGATACCGGAAAGAAAATTTCTCTTGCAAAGGTGGGTGAATTTCCTTTTACATTTCTGATCAGGTAAGAAGCTTAGCAATATTGATGTTTAAATATATATGACTTCAAATATATTTTAAGAGAAAGGTTTGAACTATCTTCTTGAAACTTTTAATTCTATGGATGCTCTTTATGTTTCATTATTCATTTTATTTTTTATTTTAAATTAAAAACATATTGTATTTAGAGATGTGATGGTCCACTTTGAGGTCCAGAAGAATAATAACAGATGCCTTTAGAAAACAGTAAATAAAAACAAAAGTAAGCATGAGAATATTTGAATGAGGTTTTGATAGCAATTTAATTCTGACTAAAAATTAAATATTTAATGGAATGTGTTCTGTGTCTCATGACCTGAATTAACTCCTAGTGATAATTACACTTTAGTAGCTATCAATTTCAAGGTCCTTACTTCTTCCAAGAGGGAATTGTAGTTTTGAAAGGGTAATTATTAAAAGTACACAGTCCTCTCTTTAGTAGAATAAAAATTTGCAGATACTGTTGATAAGATGGAAAATCAACTCAGTTTGTAATGTAATAATAGATCCAAGTTGCAGTGTTATGCACTCTAACTTGGGAACAGATCTACCCAACAGAATGGATAAAATGTCTTAATTGGCAAGTATAATGAAACCAGTGACAACCAAAAAGCCATATATGATTTATCTGTCATTTTAAAGGCCCCATTATCAGAAGCCCCTGGGAGCCCCCAGTGGTGCAGTGGGTTAAACCTTTGTGCCGGCAGGACTGAAGACTGACAGGTCGCAGGTTTGAATCTGGGGAGAGTGTGGATGAGCTCCCTCTGTCAGCTCCAGCTCCCCATGCAGGGAAATGAGAGAAGCCTCCCACAAGGATGGTAAAACATCAAAACATCTGGGCGTCCCCTGGGCAACATCCTTGCAGCTGGCCAATTCTTTCACATCAGAAGCGACTTGCAGTTCCTCAAGATTCTCCTGACACGAAAATAAACAAAAAAAATCAGAAGCCCCTCAGGTAAAGGTGTGCCTTTGAAATTAGAAAGGGAATTTTAATTGTATTTATTTGAAGATAAAAGCTAGGAAGCACATTCTACATAAACCGTTTTGTTTCACTGTTTGCTGTTTGTTATTACCCTTTCTTTGCTCTGATTTAAACAGTGGAAATTATTGTTGTGCGCTTCAGGTAGTTTCTAACTTCTGGTGACCCTAAGGAGAACCGATTACAGGGTTCTCTTGGCATGATTTCTTCAGAAGAGGTTTGCCATTGCTTTCCTCTGAGACTGAGAGAATGTCACTTGCCCAAGATCACCCAGTGGGTTTCATGGCTGAGTAGTGATTTGTAACCCAGTGCTCAAACCACTAGATCATGATGGCTCCACAGATAAGTAATGTTGGGCTTTAAACACAATGGTTGTATACCCCATCACCTTAAGTAGTACTGTGTATTACATCTAAGGTGGAATGTATGGGCCACCAAAAAGTGGTCCAAAGACTAGTGACTGATTTCCATTAGTAGTTGTGTGTTTTCAGGTAATTTATGGCAAGCCTAAAGCTTATCATACAGCTTTCCTGACAAGATTTGTTCAGATGGGGATACATGAAATCATGAATAAATATTTCCTCTTGGGCTGAGAGAATGTGGTTTCCATGGCTAAGGGGGAATTTGAACCATGGTCTTCCAAAGTTTTCATCTAACATTCAAGTCACTACACCTCATTGGTTCAAAAGATATAAACAATGTGGATTGATGCTAAAAGAGAGAACCAGCATGGCTTGAATCCCTAATCAGAAATGAAAACCCATTGAGTGATCTTGGGCAAATCTCTTTCTCTCAGCCTTAGAGGAAGGTAAAAGCCTAGGTTTGCCATAAGTTTGAAATAATTTGGAGGCACACAACATGATTATTAGACCTTTATATGCCTGAACATATTCTACTAGACCTAGAGGACATTCAAGAAAGTTCACAGTGCAAGGAAAAGAGGTAATATATTAGGGTAGACTTTGCTTCTGTTCACAATACAAGAGTGTGGTTTTGCCTGGCTGTCTTGCATGCTAATGCTTTACCTTCTATAATTGAGGCATTTGGGGGATTCCTTGGTAAATGAGGTTGCTTGTGTCCACGGGAACTGAGCATTTCTGCTAGCATTTCAATGAGATGATTCATCGTTTTTGCTCATTCTCAAGATTGTCTCTGCTGGGATGGCATAAAGAAGTCTTTCAGCCCTCATTCGTCCTTTCAGCCTTGCCTGTCAGAGCACTGTAGGCAGCCTTTGTGTTCCCTAAGAGGATTTATTTAACATAGGGAAAGTTCTCACTACAGAGAAGTTGTTGCCAGGATATCCAGAGCAGCTGCAGCAAGATGGCAGCTGCTTTACACTTGGCATGAAAGTTAGCAGACGAAGATCTGCAAGATTTGGGCTATCCAGCAAATGCAAAAACAGGTAGGATAAGTAGAGTCTGGACTACAGCACTTAGCAAAAAGTTAACCTCTAAGATGACACCAATGACAAGTGCAACAGATGCATTGCAACACAGCTTATTTAGTTTTATTGAAAATGCCTACATTTCAGTCATTCTGTCGAGCAGATGGGTTTACTCCAAAACTAGAATGCATAACATCGTAGTTGGTTATTTACATTCCAGATTTAACTGATAGAATACAAAAATTTCAGTATGTGTTGCTTGTCACACAATTAGGTAACAAACACCATCTTCTACAACTATTAAGGGTACAGGAGCCCTTTCCAATTTCTACTCTGACAACCCTAGCCAAGATTATGCTGAAGGGGTAGTTGATGGATTCCTGGAAATTGTTCTATTTAAACTGAATACCAGTTTTTGTGACTTACATTCCATACAGGGTGCTGTGGATGACCAAATGTTACACAATGATTAATGCTATTTTAATTATAGGCATTAAGATGAGGAAGCAGTAGTTAAGACATCAATGTCAAATCTGTGTGAAGACATTTCTGGGCTTTGATCTCCTGTTGTGCTCCGATCTATAAGCCAATGTTTTTCAGATACTGATGAATGCTTAGAAAGTGGAGTTGGCATCTGTGGTCAAAATTTTATCAATACTCCAGGATCCTATATGTGCTCTTGTATGCCAGGCTATACATTGGCTAATGACAAGAAGTCTTGTCATATAAGTGGTAAGATTCCTTTGTTCTGTTTAAAAGATTTTTTTATCATAAAAGATGTTGAGATGCAAGCCAGAGACCACCTCCTCCCATATGAGGCTGGATCTACACTTCCCTATATCCCAAGATCTGATCCCATCCAGACAGACTCATGTGAGCCATCCAGACAAACTCAAAAAGCAGGATCTGTCTGGGTTTTTACCAGAGCTGTCCAAACAATATTCACTGTAAAAACAAACTAATTCGGAATAACCCCAGTTATTCTGAATTAATTCAATACCCCATTAGATCTGGGCCTTCCTGAAAGACTTGGATCTAATGGGGTATTAGACCTGTGGAGGCTTACCTCTAAGTAGTTCCAGGACTATCCAGAACTACCTGGGGGTGAGTCCCCATTTCCCTTTGGGAGCCTTTTGGGCTCCTGGAGCCCAAAGGTCTGGAATGGGGCCCAACCTCTCCCCCACCTTCCACAACAACCCTTAAAATAAAAACCCGTACCTGGCACACCAGGAGACTGGGGGTGGGGTGATTGTCCTCCCCCCACCCCCTCCCCCCCCCGGTCTCCTGGTATGCCATTTCTTCATGCCAGGGGGATGCAGGAAGCACCAGCTACTTTTTTAATTTTAAAAGTTGTTTTAGTGGGCTTCAGGGTGGCTGCATACCATCCTGGTATTTACCAAGATGACATGTGGCCATCCTCCCAGGGAAATCCTGGGTTTTTCGGGGAGGGGGAGTGGGTATGGTAATCCGTGCAAAAGCAGGTTTCTTCAACTCACTTTGGCACGCATTTTGTTGCTGTCTGAAAGTGCCCTGAGACTGCCTGAAATTTGTGTTTAGCATCAGTCATTTTGATACTTGTCTCACTTACTACTGAGATTCAATTTGTGGCAGAGGGGACATGAGATAGGACCTTTGTGTAACTACTCCTGTTGTTGACCTCCAACCACAAGGAGAATGAGTTAGCTTCCTTTTTATTGGTCTGTAGAAGGCTAGAGAAAACATCACTGTTCTATTTAACCTTTAATAGCTAATGACATTTAACTTAACAGTTAATAGCACTTACTTCTGATTCCCTTGTTTTGTATATTTTTTAGATGGCCTTCCTTAGACCTCTATAGTTTTTGCATGATATTATTTTTATATCAATTTGAGTTTTCATTTTGTGTAAGGGCCATTCAAAAACATACTTATTAAAATGGGTATGATGTGTAGGACCGATGGGAGATGCAATCCAAGAGAACCTGGAGTACCACAAAATTCCTGCCCTTAAAGTAATACTTTATTACTAAAACATATACTCAATAACCATGCATGTGGGGGTGGGGGTGGAGCAAGATCATACTGACTGATACCATCCCCTTCTGCAGGACTGTTGTCATCCATGCTGAGGCCCCTATAGTTATACAACATTACTCCCAGAATGTATTATTCTACTTTATTCTGTTGCTGTTTTTTTCCCCCAGAGGTCTCTCATTTCTAAAATCTTAAATTGAGTGCAGTAATTGGCACACTCAGCTTTCCTTCATTAAAAAAAAATTGGGACGCCTTGGGCCTTAAAAATGGCATGGCATATATACCCTATGCACTGCACTTTCCCCACTCCTTTTTAAGGCTACAGATTTGGTTAGCTTGTATAGTAACCTTTTACAAGGGAACATTCATACACATTGGTAGCCATGCATGTGGTGAAAAGAGACATATTTGCATATAGACATACATGTCTTGACATTGCTCATGGAAACAGAATCCAATCTTTTCCATCATTCATTTCACTTGTTATTTATGCATATTGTAAAGGTTTTTAACAAGCAATAACAATAAAATGGATTTCATCAAAGGAGCCATTGTGATTTTTTTAAAAAATCCAAATACCCATTAATTCCTTCAAAAACAAACTATCGTTCATGTTGCAGCTATTCATTCCTCTGAAGTTCTGTTAGTGCAGGTTAAGATAGTGAGAAATTCCATGTCTGGACAACTTGGTTACAAAATTTATGTAAATGTTTGATCAAGGAAGGGACCAGGAAGAAATGCAAGCAATGCCAAGGTCAGATTTCTAAGACAAAATCTACTTTGTTGCCATCTATTTCATTTATTTTTGCAAAAGAAGTTTGCAAAAGTTTAATAGTTGTATATTTTCAGTGAAAGCAGTAGAAAATAGAAATATCAGAGAGGTATAAGTAAATTCTGCAACTGAATAGTCCATGATCAGATTTCCCCTGATCCACTTCTTGTGGACTGAGAGCAATAAAACTTGGCACAGTTAATAGTCCTTCTCTACATAGGTGGCACCTAGGGACACACACGTCTCCCATCTTTTTAAGCAACTGTAAACATCATGGTTATAGAAGTCAACAGGTTTCTCGAAAAGCCACGTTGTGACTTCGGAAATATCAGAGTGTCATCAACAGAAAAATGCTTGCCTTTCAAAAATAACTTCATTGTTAGAAAGAGGTGGAAGTCCGACGGTGCAAGGTCAGGTGAATAAGGGGAATACAGTAGAATTTCAAAGCCATAGGAGCATGCTTCCATTTGGGCAACATGTGAATTGTGAACTGGTGCATTGTCTTGCAGAAGGTGGACACCTTTGGTGAGAATGCCACATCTCTTGGTTTTGATGGCCTCCCGCAATTTCCGTAGCAGTGAAGCATAGTATGCCCCAATGATCATGGTACCTTTTGCTAGGAAATCCATCAGTACTACTCCATGCTTGTCCCAAAATACTGTGAGCATTACCTTTCCTGCCGAGAGTTGGGCATGTGCCTTCTTTGGAGGCAGTGAGTCATGATTCTTCAATTCCATCGACTGGACTTTAGTCTCAGGATCATAGTGATGGACCCAGCTTTCATCCCGTGTGATCAGTCTGTTGAAAAAGTCCTCCTGGTTTCCATGGCACATCATCAATAGAGCCTGGGAGCGTTCAACTTGTTCCTATTTCTGGAAAGGTGTGAGCAGCCGGGGGACCCAGCAAGCAAATACCTTATGCATGTGGAGATGGTCTTGGATGATTTTTTTCTTGGACCCCACACTAATTTTGGGCTAGGTGGTGAATGGTTATGTGGCGATTTTCCAAAATGGTGGCCTCCACTTGCTGGGTGGCATGTTCATCAATAGCAGAGTGGGGTTGCCCTGGAGATGTTTGCACTGGGAGTTCGAGAACATTTGAACTGATGACGCCAGTTCTTGACTATATCATATGATGGGGAATCATCACCATAAAACTCTGTCATCTCATTGAACTTCTCCTTTGGTGTGTGGCCTTTCAAGTAAAGCAACTTTATGGAAGCTCTGTATTCCACTGGGTCCATTAGCAAAACTCATACCACTTCAGCACTTGAAAAATCAAGACCATTATCAGTTCTGAGTTGTAAATTGGCACGTAACCTATAGAGACTTATATCATTACACATGTGCAGTTTCAGCATCCTGTGAAGTGTGTCAGGGGAAATTTTTAATAAATGCCCCTTGCAAATGGTGGCAGATAAGTTACTACTGCAAATAGTTAGAGTCACATCTCTACATTTGCTCAGGTAAGGAGCACAGAATTCTCTTGACAGTGAAAATCCACAAATAAAATTGTTATTTTTTTTACTTGAGAGAATACCTCTATGGGAACCAGCAAGTCCTTTAGCAAGTCTTCTAATTGCTATTTTTAGCTGGGGGAATATCTCCATCACTGGAGGAGGATTATTATTATTACTATTATTCTGTTTGTTTGTTTATACACGGTTTTTCTCCATACAAGGAGACTCAAAACAGCATACATTAAAAACATTTCAATACAATTTAAAATTTACTATCCGACCCATGGAAAAAAAGCAAGATAGAAATGAATTATTATTATTATTATTATTATTATTATTATTATTATTATTTAAAATCTAGAAAGGATATAGACATTCCCAGAGATACTTTTAAAAATAAAATCTATCAGTTATCAACTCCACAAAAAAACAAATGTGAAAATGTGGACACCTGACTGGCTAAAGTAACAAATACAAAATAGGTTAAGGGGAATTGAGTTTGGTTAGACTGGTCTTACTATTACTTGTGGTGAAGCTACTGCCTTAGATGGCAGATGCTGAGGGGGCAGTGGGAGTCACCCAGTCACTAATCTCTGTAGGGCAGCACTTTGCTGACCATCCATGATCTATCCTGTAGTCCTAAAATGATCAACTGCTGCTTCTATAGTATAGAAAGGGTGAGGATGATGGTAAATGTAGTCCAACATAGTTAAAGTGTGTCAGGTTGGGGTCAGCTGGAGTATAGGCTCTGTGTCTAACAGTATAATCATTTAATTGTCTCTGAAAATGTTAACTGAGTTCAGTTGGGATGTGCAAGTATAAAGTTGAAAGCATGATTAAACTTGTTACATATGGAGTTTTGAGCTGCAAATGTTGTAAAATCTGAAATTACTTCATTTTTTATTAATGTATACAACATTTTCATTAATTGAGAAAAACTACAGTTTCAAAGGAACTTAAAGTCCAAACCTCAGCAAAATGTCTCATGTTGGGAGAAAGTCTAGAAATAAAATAAAACTAAACAAGAATAACTAACATTGAAAAGATCTTAATCTGATAATATATTTATCTATGAAGACACACATTTTAAATCCTATTTCTTTTCTGTTTAGTTCCCACTCCATTCCTAGTTTTCAGTCAAGGCAATGCTATCTTTGGAATTGAGGTAGATGGGACTAATCACAAAAAACTGGTGAATTATACTGGCTTATCAGTATTAATAGATTACCATTACGGCGAAGAACATCTCTACTGGGTAGACACAGAAAAAGGTCTTCTCCAGCGAATATCCCTGAATGGCTCAAATCCAGAGGTAATGGAACATTTCTTTATTCCAAGCCATTTTGTGTGTGATAAATGCAAAGATTTAATGACCATTAACTTCTTTGCCTATAATCTCTGGAAGGATATGCTAGAAGCTGTAGAATAGGATGAATTTGCAGAAGGAGATAAAAGTCAATGGCAGATAAGAAGGCGAACTTTCAAAATTTTTGTTGAAAATGTGAAACTTTCAGCTCACATTGGTACTCCAGGGGTAGTAATGATAGAAAAGGTGGCAGGCAAGCTGAAATAAACTAGAAAATGATCTGGAACTATCATATCCAAAGCCTTCCCATTCCAGGCATGGGAAAAGTGACACCAACCCTGGAATTGGGATCAATTGGAGAGAAAGCCTGAAAAAATACTTTGTGATGGTGGTGTTGGTAGAGGAGGAGGAAGGAGTAGATGCTGGTAGTGGTAGAGGTTGTGGGGAAAATGTGGTAGAGAAAGAAGTAGAAGAGATGGGAAATGAAATAGAATAACCCTTTCGGAATGTTTAATATTAATGTTATTAGACTATACAGTCTAGTACTCTGGATTTTTGTAGTCAGATAAGAAGGAAATAAAATACAACTGTAATGTTTGCGTGTTGTCATGCAGAAAACCATTATGGAGCATCTATGTATGCCTATCTTTCTCAAACAAAAAGGAAGAAGAACAACTGCTAACTGGTTTTCTTGAAAGAGGAAGCTGAGCAACTGATATAATTAATGGTTACTTAGAAAGAATAAGGAGAAAAACAAATGTCCAAGCCCACCTAGCTATCTGTCAACATATCTACTATCCTCCATTGTTACACATGCTAATCTCTTTTGCTTCTAACACCCCCTATCCTTTGATATGAATTCTGCAGGACTTGAGATTACATAGTTCCATTGCTTCTTATTCTTCTTCATCCTCCCAGCCCATGGAAAAATGTGGTGAAAACATACCAGATGTTCATCTTAGCACTTGAAAAGGTCATATGTGCTGCTGGAATCTCCACGGATTGTCCCATACCCCACATTGGAGCCCATCGCCTTACATCGTCTGACTTACTCCATGCTCCATCCCATAGCGGGAAGTGTCTGCCGCCCAGCTTCCCCCGATAATCCTAGTGCAACATGGGAAGCCTCTCATGTTGCCGCTATTGCGACATATGCCAGTTCCTCTTCGGTTTTGCAGTGGAGCCCTGCCAGAAGTAGATATACATCATGTAATGGGAGTTGTTGGGCTCTGTCACAAAACTGAAGAGGAACCAGCATATGCTGCTGATTTTTACCATGTCTCATGAGGTTGACAGTGGTTTTATAATTAACAGGCACAATTTTTGTATTACCGAGCTCTCTGTTAATAAATAAGGATGGATCCCACCCAGTCCCCTTCCACACTCTCCCTATATTCCAGGAACTGATCCCAGATTATCTTCTTATATCAGATTATCTGGCAGTAGAGACTCATATAATCCAGTTTAAATAAGATAATCTGAGATCAGATCCTGGGATATAGGGCAGTGTAGAAGGGGCCAAAGATAGCTCAGAAGAATTTTATCTTTTAACTCTAAATTTTAGCTGGCATGAAAGAGTCGAAACACTACCAGTGCAGGTTTTTTAAAAAAATAATAACTATTTCTCCTCCTTCTTTCCCCCTTTTCCTATTGCTTGTTTTGGATACAGACAATTCGGTATACTGAAAAAGACATATCTGGATTTGCAGTAGACTGGATAAACCAAAATATTTATTTGGCTCATTATCAAGAGGCCACAATTGAGGCAATCAGCCTGGATGGAAACTACTCTCAAATCCTTGCAAAAGATGATGATCATCCCACAAGTATTGCTGTTGATGCAAGCAGAAGGTAAGTCAGGGTTGACTTTAAGGATTGCAGTAACAAAGCTGTAGTGAAAAGATCAGTATACTATGATCCCATACCTGTGGGATCAATACCTACTGGGCATTTCTTAGTACCTGCAGTTTTACCTACTGGACATTTGTTAGGTCCTGCAGCATGACTCTGTGGTAACTTCCAGTGAAATTAATACACTCGTTGTTTGTTATTATCCACAGTGTCCTAGTTCTGTGGTAAGTTTAGGAATGTATCAGCTGAGATTATGGGAATCGTAATATATCTTAAATATAATTTGGTTTAGAGTAGTGCTACTCAAAGTGGTGATCCATGGACCTGTGAGCTATTGGCTGCTGGTCTATAGAGAGTTTCCAAAAAAGAAAGAAACAGTTGCAGCCAATGGGAATAAGTATGACACCAGTGCTTGGGAGTGTGTATGTGTATGCGGTGGGGGGAGGTTTGCTGGTTCCTCACATCAGATAGTCTTTGAAGCACTGATTTAGAAAATCTTCGTTGATTTGAAAGTTTATGAAAGTTCACTACCTTAGATGAAGATCAAGACATCTTTCTTGCCTTCAAGATAGGAATTACATTGCCATTCAGATGTTGGTGGCTGCCATTTGTAGAAGCCCAACAGTGTGCCAGTCATGTCAGAATTCAATCACATATGAAGGGTTACATAATTCGCACCTTAATGTCTTCTTTCCTTTAAACTAGGAAACTATGGTTGAAACCAATATTAAAAGCTAATGTTTCTCCAAGTTGTACTACAAGTACAGAGATTTAAACAAATAAAGAAAAGCACTGAATACGAGAAATCTATACCGCTTTATTGCTCTTGAGAGAATTTTCAGTATCAGTGAAGATGTACCCAATTTTATCACCAGGATTCTATTTTGGTCTTCTGAAGGAGCCTTTGGCAGCATCTATGGAGCTGTTCTGAATAGAAAAGAAGTTTGGAGAGTTCTGAGGAACATTGGAAAAATCCGAAGTGTCTCACTGGATTTTCTTAATCAGAAGCTTTTTTGGATACAGAACAATGATGGTGATGATGAAATTACATATATCAGATCCTGTAGCTATGATGGTAGTTCTGTTCATTTGCACAAACAGATCATACGGTATGTAAATGTGTATAAATTATCAAATTGGCAAGAAAATTGTCCCAATCCAACCAGTGTTTGAATTTAGGCGTCTATATCATCATCCCTAACATATAGTACTACTATTAAATCAAACTGCATTAGGTTAGCAGTTGATGACTTCCATATAGGAATTCAATTCTTGACTAACTTTCTTCTCAAATGTAGCAACAAATAGTTTCTGCAAGTATTCTATCACTTTCACCTTTGAAAGCAACATGGTTTTTGAAAACTAGTCATAATTTGGAAAATGTGCATACAATAGATTTGGATAGAAAACAACACTTTCTGCATAGAAAATAACATGCAGAGATATTATTTCCTGCATAAGGAATGCTATTTTCTGGAGTGAAAATTCTGTTTTCTGTGTAAAGCTATTGTTTTCAATTCTATACAGAATTACAGTGTTTCATTACAGATTTTTCTTCTTCGAAGAAAACACATTTAATGTGCAGTAAATAATATTTGAATGCAGCATAAAATTCTGTTTTCCACGGAGAAAATGCTGTTTTCTTTGTAAAATACCCATGTGTAATTTTTGTACAGAATAAATCTCAAACTGCGAAGATTCTCATCAGCCTACGATTCCTGTTGTTGGGTTTTCTAATCTCTTGAAATATATGTTTGCAACCATTTTTCTAATTTTAAAGTATTTTTCTTCTTTTCTTCCATATTATTAAGGCTTTAGAAATCTCTAGAGCCCCCTCCACACAGCTGAATAAAATCCCACATTATCTGCTTTGAAATGGGATATATGGCAGTGTGGACTCAGATATTCCAGTTCAAAGAAGATATTGTAGGTTTTTCTGCCTTGGCTTTCTGGGCTATATGGCTGTGTGGAAGGGCCCTAGCATGGCTCTATGGTTCACCTCCGACAGACAATTGACCAACCATAGAGTCATGCTGGAGAACCTAGAGATTTCTAGAAATAATATATTAATCATAGAATAATCAAAACCTCACAAGTTAAACATGCCAATGTTAGACTTGTAAACAGGGATCCTTCCACACAGCCCTATATCCCAGAATATCAAGGCCTAAAATCCCACAATATCTTCTTTGAACTGGGTTATCTGAGTCCCCACTATCAGAACCAATGATTGCTGCACATCGCACATCGCACTTGCCCTAGAAGCCCTATATACACCTCCTGTCACATCAGCACTTTTAATCTTTGTACCCATTCTCTGGCCGGCACAGTTTTATTGTGTTTTAGTGTATTGTGCCTGTTGTTTATTTTGCTTTATTCTGTTTTTAATTGTTTGATTTGCTTAGATTGTATTGTTGTGTTGTGTGTTGAGGCCTCGGCCTGTGTAAGCTGCATCGAATCCTTCGGGAGATGCTAGCAGGGTACAAATAAAGTTTAATAATAATAATAATAATAATAATAATAATAATAATAATAATAATGTGGGATTTTCTGCCTTGATATCTTGGGATATAGGGCTGTGTGGAGGGGCCCTTGGTTGCCTGGACTTCTACATGCAGGACTGCATGATTCCCACCCTGATGTAATTTCAGTTCCATTGATTTCAACTGCTGTGGATTAAAGTTGATCTTATTAGGCTGATTAACTTTTTTTTCTCCTAGCACAAAGCTGAATGAATGGATGCTATCATTTCTTTTATTTCCTACAGAAACCAAGTCTATGACATCTTTATCTTTGCTGACCATATATATTATTCTGACTCAACGGGTGCTATCCGACATGCCAATAAACACACAGGCAAAGATGTAGTTGCAATGAACCTGCAGCCAGCAAGTTCCCAACCTGCTGAGATACTGGTTGTACATCCATTAAAGCAGATCAGCACGAGGATGGATTCTAAAACACTTGGTAATTCTTAATGCAATGGCACTGATAATAAATATTTCTCCTGTTCCAGTCTATGCTGCTCCTTCTAATTTCTGATGGCATTTTTCAATGTATCTTTTTCAAATACCTTTAGAATCCTATAGCTGAATTTTCTGATTTATTTTATTTCTTGACATTTTTATGTCATCCCCATTACAAAATATATTGCCTCAGTATGCTCACTAGATAGATCTGAAGAGCATACTTCAGCATCCACTTTCTCCTGAATGGGACAATATTAAATACAGAACTTTTGATGGAATGGAAAATTCCAGGCAATTTGGGTAAGGGTAGATTTCTCACTCTCAACTGCAGCCCTCCCATCAATGCACTTGACTTCTTACTGGTTTTGGAAGGCCACTACAGTGCCGATATGAGATAATTCTGTGGCAATTATGTATAGTTTTTGTTCTGATATTTAAAACTAGAAGAAAACTCATTTTGCCCTACATGATAATTCTTTAGTTTATTATTTTGTATTCTACATTGTAGGTGCACCCTTATTCTCAGATATACATTTCTGTGTATGTCAGGAGCGACTTGAGAAACTGCAAGTCGCTCCTGGTGTGAGAGAATTGTTTGTCTGCAAGGACATTCCCAGGGGATATTTTGATGTTTTACTATCCTTGTGGGAGGCTTCTCTCATGTCCCTGCATGGGAAGCTGGAACTAATAGAGGGAGTTCATCCGTGCTCTCCCCAAATTCGAATCTGTGACCTGTCAAGTCTTCAGTCCTGTTGGTACAAGGGGTTAACAAGGGTTTAACCCATTGTGACACCGGCGGCTCCTTCAGATATATATGTGTGTGTGTGTCTGTGTGTGTATGTGTGTATGTGTGTGCGTGTGCGTGTATGTGTATGGAATATATTCAAAGAACAACAAAATCAGCAATCCTAGTCAGATATACATGAATAACTTGGATTGCTGATTTTGTTGTTCTTTGAATATGTCCCAGAATCATTGAAAAGTGATATCTACTGTATAAACAATGTAGTCAATTTTGATCATGCTGTGAGATATGATTTGTGAATGCCACTCGTGGCCTGCACTTGGCTCACAAGTCATGTTAAGTTATTTGCTTCCTAAAGTCTTAACTCCCATCTTTCAGATGCAACTTACATTTTGTGCATTACCTCATGCTGCTAGTTTGTTTGTTTGTTTGTTTTTTTGATATCACACATGACTCCTTGGCGGTTACCTATTTTTTTAAAAAATGTAATTATACTGGAAAACTGAACATTTCTCCCATAGATTGCATTTGTTTGTGGACATCCCATCCCATAGTTTGTTTTGGCCTCTAATGCACTGACATTCCCAAGGAGCTTATAGATAGCTAACATGATAATGATATTTGTTGAGAAATATACAAGACTGGACATCCACATGTATCATTACGCTGCTGTAATTGAAAATACATATTTCTCACTGCTTAATCTTGGAAACAAACTGCTAGTTGGTCCTATGTGGGCAGATGCATAGAGAGATATATGTAGGCAGGTACTGAGATGCTAAGTGATTGCTGACAGAGAAAGCTGAGGAAATCAGCCAACCTAATCTTGGAAGTCATTGCATAATTTCATTTCAGTTAGTGCTTCAGAAAAGGAGAAAATTTAGCTTACACATCAATGTGGAGTGGTGAGTAGTCAATAATGAAAATAATATGGATCACAATCAAAGCTAGCAATAGAAAGCCAGGCGGCTCAGGCTACCATTAGATTGTACTTGCTTGTTTTTGACTTGTTGCAACTCTAAGGCAGACCTATAATGAGGTTGTCTTGCCAGGATTTGTTCAGAATGAGTTTGCCTTTGCCTTCCTCTAAGAGCAGGGATGCATTCATACTGTAGAATTAATGCATTTTGACACTACAGGGACCAATGTTATGGAATTACGATAGTTGTAGTTTCACAAGGTCTTCTCTGGCTTTCTCTGCCAAAAAGTGCAAGTGCCTCTCCAAATTACAACTCCCAGGATTCCATGCATTGAACCATGGCAATATAAGTGATCTCAAACTGCATTCATTCTACAGTATAGATGTGCTATTAGTTTTAAAATACAGGATTCATAGACTCTATAGGTTTCTTTCTGCAGCAGGATAGCTAAACTGAGGCACAGGAATACAGACCTCTTTCAGTATAGGACTCCCTGCTCCTCTTTTTCTGGAATGGGTTCTTATAAAACATCAAGGGGGTGGAAAGGAGCTTAGGTTGCCCAATCCAGATGAACTCTCTGGACTTTGTATGTGCATTGCTTAGCTTAGCCAGCCCAAGAACCTGGATTGAGGGAAGGCTCATTAGCCTAAAGTACAAATGAGATTTACAAGGGGATCTTGCCACAAGGGAAACCTAGGAATGAAATCATGTACGCTTTAATTAGATGCCCTGCCGAGGCCAAGTCATTGTAGGTACTGGAGATTAAAATGCACAATCTAACATTGTTTTAAAAAGGCAATGAACGCTGATGTGCTTTGCATCTGCAACACAGTAACTGTTTTAACTGTTCTCTGCTTGCAAGGGTCATGTTTGGGCGATTAGTTACATGCCCTTTTCTTTGCACTAGATTAGTGCTATGTTTGCAGCAGGTCAAACCAGGATGCCTCCTACTGTTTTACCTGCTCTCCCCTCTGTACACTTGCTTTGCTCTGCCCAGATAGTTTCACATCAATGCAAAGTGTGGTATTGGTCACTCTACTTTTGCAACGCAGGTATATGAACTGCACAACTCTGTGATATAATCTGTTGCATAGTGGTAATTTCATAGTGGTAATTGCAGGCTTGGCATAATAGATAGATGCTACAGATAAGGAGAGTCCATATATGCTGCCAGCTGTGTGATAAAAGGGGAATTAGAGTTGCATAGGAATTGTTATATCACATACATGGTCATTGCAAAATGAAATGCCCCTGAAAGGCTCTCAGTGGTAGTATAGTGGGTGGACTCTGATAGTCATCATGACAGTCCACCCCAAGAAATATATACAACTGCAGGTCTTCTAAAAATATAATTGCTTATTTTCTGAGCACCTCAAAAGGTTTTGAATTGGAAATGAATGCTCACAATGATATACTGTTGCTGGTAATTCATTTTCTCCCTTCTCCTAAATACAAGGATGGTGGACTTGCAACAAAGTAAACAACTACTGGAAACAGATTCCTGTATACCTCGAAAAGATGTTAAACAAATTTCAAAATGATACCACAAAAGTACCTTTTGAACATGCCTGATGAAGAACTACAAAGGAAATTTGGAAAAAAGTGTTTTTCATGGCAGTGGCAGCTCGAATAGTATATGTTAGATATTATAAAACCTCAGAGACATCTTCCTTAGAGTGGGAAAATACTTTACAGATTTGCTGATAATGGATAAATAGCTGTACTCTTAAGAGGAGAACTTTTTAATGAATGGCAAGCAATGATTCAACATCTCAATGTAAAATTAAACTAAAAATGTATATAGAGGATTCTATAACACTGTAGACAAAGAGGAAGCAGATATTAATTTAGAGCCTATGATAGCTTTATATGTACTATTTAAATAGAAGGCTGTGATCCTTTAAAGAAAATATATTATCTGAGAATTGATTATAGAACACGAATAGCTGGAAAGTATTACACTGAATGCAACAAACATGAATATATGCGTATTTGAATAAATAAATACATCTTTAAAAAAAACAACTCAAAAGTAAACCTCAATTCTGCCATTTTATATAAAGGACACCATTTTACTGTGTCACTGTATATATTGGGACTTGAGTATCCATGGAGTTTGGTACCCAAGGTGGGTATGCAATGCATATATGTGTTTGAGGGCCCAGTGTATATTTGTTGCAAAACTTGACTTCAGTTTTGAGTGACTCTGTAAATCAATAATGGTAGGGTTGGCCCTGGCCCTAAGCTGCTAGTAGGTGAGAATTGCTCACACCAGTTTTCTACATAGGTTGAATCTAAATGAAGCCAATGGGATTTTGGCCTGCATCAATAGGAGCATTGTGTCTAGATCTAGGGAAGTCATGCTACCCCTCTATTCTGCTTTGGTTAGACCACATCTGGAATATTGTGTCCAATTCTGGGCACCACAATTCAAGAGAGATATTGACAAGCTGGAATGCGTCCAGAGGAGGGCAACTAAAATGATAAAAGATCTGGAGAACAAGCCCTATGAGGAGCGGCTTAAGGAGCTGGGCATGTTTAGCCTGAAGAAGAGAAGGCTGAGAGGAGATATGATAGCCATGTATAAATATGTGAGAGGAAGCCACAGGGAGGAGGGAGCAAGCTTGTTTTCTGCTTCCCTGGAGACCAGGACGCGAAACAATGGCTTCAAACTACAAGAAAGGAGATTCCATCTGAACATGAGGAAGAACTTCCTGACTGTGAGAGCCGTTCAGCAGTGGAACTCTCTGCCCTGGAGTGGAGGTTTTTAAACAGAGGCTGGATGGCCATCTGTCAAGGGTGATTTGAATGCAATATTCCTGCTTCTTGGCAGGGGGTTGGACTGGATGGCCCATGAGGTCTCTTCCAACTCTTTGAGTCTATGATTCTATGAAGTGCTTCACTTTCACTGGGTTGGCATATAGTTTCTTGTTGATTATACTAAAGATCCAATGCAGTTTAGTGGATTGAGTATTGGACTTTGATGCTGGACACCAGGGTTTGAATCCTTGCTTCAGCCAACCTAGCAGTTTGAAAACATGCAAATGTGAGTAGATCAATAGGTACCACTCTGGTGGAAAGGTAACGGTGCTCTATGCAGTCATGCCGGCCACATAACCTTGGAGGTGTCTACAGACAATGCTGGCTCTTTGGCTTAGAAATAGAGATGAGCACCAATCCCCAGAGTTGGACATGACTGGACTTAATGTCAGGGGAAAACCTTTACCTTTACTTAAGCCGACCTACTTGGTGAGCTTGGGCAAATTACAGTCTTCCAACTTAAGAGCAAGGCAAAGGAAACCCCCTCTGAACAAATCTTGTCAAGAAAATCCCATGATAGACTTGGGTTGCCGTAAGTTAGAAATGGTTTGAAGGCACAAAGCACAGAAACGAATATTGGCTCACAAAATGTGTGATTGTTAAATCATGTTCCAAAACTGCAATTAAAGTGGTCTGAGTTCAATTAAAGGTTCTGGACTGAAGAATTCACCAAGGCACGCCAAATGCAGTTGTTGTGGGCAAACTTGTATAGAAGCAGCTTAAGAAATGCATGTTGTGAATATAGATGAGAACTGAGCACATTTGGAGTTACTCTTTAATCTGAAATAATCTTCTTTTTCCAGTTGAAAGGCCTTGTCTTTCAAACAGAAGAAACTGCAAGAGAAGCATCTGTAAGCAAGACCCCAGGACCAGTCAATGTGAATGTATGAGTGGGTTCACTTTAAGCAAAAAGAGGAAATCATGTGAAGGTAACCCACTTCCACAAATAGCTATAGCTCATTCACGCAGGAGACACCAATGGCTCTTCCTCCAATGACATTGCAGGTTATAGGGAACACCATAAACATGTAGCCCAAGCCCTACAAATGTCCTCCACAAACACCATACTGCTCACCACCCAAGTGAAGGCTTTCATACGGGGACAATTTTATCCCAGATTTTATATGTTTCCTCCACTACAAACATCCCAGTGTTCCTTACTCTCTCCATTGGTGTGAAATTTTCATGACCTCACCCACTGCCTTTCCCTTAATCCTTTCCTAATATTTTCTATGGCACACAGAAAACAGAGGAATTTATCAGCAACTGAACATACTAGAAGGTTTACGGAGAATACACCATGAGTTGTATGGACTGGGATGTATAGTTCACCTGCAATCTAAGAGCACTCCACCAATAATGGACCTGGAACTAACTTGGCACACAGTATTACTAACTAAACCTACTGGAGGGGTTTGAGGGGACTGACTCACTATACAGGGAGTTGTAGTTTACCCTACAGCCAGAGAGCACACTGAATCCCACCAATAATGCTTTTAGAGCAGTGATTCTCAACCTGTCCCCAGGTGTTTTGGCCTACAATTCCCAGAAATCCCAGCCTATTTACCAGCTGTTAGGATTTCTGGGAGTTGAAGGACAAAACATCTGGGGACCCACAGGTTGAGAACCACTGATCTAGAGCAAACTTGCCCAACATAACAAATTTTAAGTACTGATGGAGGCATTGGTGTCAGTTGTAGTTAATTCACAACCTTACACATTTTGTACAATTTAAAAAAATGATTTTTTCAAATAACCCGAGCAACACTGGGTACCCAAGCTGGTATATAATAAAATAAAATAAACAAATAATTCCTCCTCACTCGTTAAGAAATCCATGATCAAAATGCACAAACTGATTAATATAAAGGCCCAAAGCAACAATACATTTTCTGGTACAGTAGAGTCTTGCTTATCCAGCCTTTGCTCATCCAACATTCTGTATTATCCAACACAGTCTGCCTCCCGCCCGGATCCACAGCTGTTTCAATACAATGCGATGTTTTGGTGCTAAATGGGTAAATACAGTAATTACTACATAACGTCACCATGTATTGAACTGCCTTTTCTCTCAATTTGTTGTAAAACATGATGTCTTTGTGCTTAATTTGTAAAATCACAATGTAATTTGATGTTTAATAGGCTTTTCCTTAATTCCTCCTTATTATCCAACATTTTTGCTGATCCAACGTTCTGCCGGCCCGTTTATGTTAGATAAGTGAGACTCTACTGTATTTTATTGGCATGTGCTTGAATGCATTACAGAGCTGTAGTCCATTCAACTTGAAAAAGTTTTACTGCAACTTCCAGAATTTCTTCACCAGCACAACTGGAAGAACATGTTAGCTGGTGGCATCTCAAACTTGTAGTCTAATAATGTTTCCCTCCAGTATTGTAGTGCATTGTGATAGCTTTTTTAGAGGCATACATGTTGATGATCATTTGATTTTGACTTGGGATTTTGAAAACATGCATAACCGTATTTTCATTTACCCAATTCTGCAAGTAAACGTGTTACTAGGCATACATTTGGTACCCTATCGTCATAAAGTTAATTGCTGGTAAATAAATAAATATGCACACATTTCTGATTTTCCATATTACAAGATGTTTTTTGTAATAGCCAATAACAAATTTCTCTTTCCACAGTGAAGATGCTTTAGCATAATTATAATGTAATGAAGTAACTATGGATAAGTATTTTTTTTCCTGGAAGTCTTGTTTTTGGCAAAAATACTAAATATGTCAAATCTGTTTCTTCCCTTTGTCAGATGTCAATGAATGTGCATTATGGAACCATGGTTGTACTTTAGGCTGTGTCAATATTCCAGGATCCTATTATTGTACTTGTCCAAGAAATTTTATTCTGCTGTCTGATAAGAAAACTTGTTATGGTAGGTAACACGCAGACAATTTTTAACAACCAACAAAAACTTTGTCCCACCCCCTTAAATCCCCTTCTGTGTGTATAGAAGTTGCATTGAAATTTCTCACTCTGTTGATCACTTTCTCAAGAATATTTCACACAACTATCATTTAGATGGCAGCATTTGTCAAGGACACCTCAACAACAAAAATACCACGCAAAAAACCTTAGGTTGAGATCCTCTGAAAAGATCAGGCAAAACTGGACTACCATTACTCTTATGTAACTGAAACCCTTCTGGAATTATCAATCAGAATTATACCAAAATAATCATTATTTTGTTGTTGCTATTATAGTGCTCATATTGTTATCAGCTTTAGCAGAATGATGATGTTAGCAATGATATTTTAATGCAATATATTCTGTTTTCATTGTGTTCCAGAAACATTTCTGTACGTAGCCAAAATCAATAATGCCTTGTCTTGCCAATGTTGAGCTCCTTCCATTTTAATAATAGTGCTGGTGCCCCTGAAGGTTATTCCTTTTTTGAACTGCTGAAATCCTATTAATATGATATAGTTTGTTCATCAGGTAATGAGGTTGAATGAGAAGCCTATTCCGAATACTGAGTTAAAATATGTAATAGAATTCTCTTCCCACCTCCACCATCTTTTTTGCAAAATCTCATATCATGGCATATTTGTTTATTTCTCTCTATAATTTTCTTCTTGTTGTATGTTTTCAAGTCATTTCTGTCTTATAGGGACCTTTAGCAAACCTTCTTTGGGGTTTTCTTGTCACAATTTATTCATATTTGTTGCCTTTGCCTTCCTTTGAAGCTGAGGACCCTTCCACACAGGCGTATAACCCCAAATATAAAGACAGAAAATCCCACAATATCTGCTTTGAACTTGGCTATCTTTGTCCACACTGCCATATATTCCAATTCAAAGCAGAAAATGTGGGATTTTATTCAGCTGTGTGGAGGAGGCCTGGGATAATGTGATTTGTCTAGAGTCACCCATTGGGTTTCTATGGCCAAATGGGATGCTGGTCTCCTAGAGTTGTAGTGCAATGCTCAAACAACTATGCCATAAATAATATAATGGCTTATATGTGTAGATTGTTTCTATTTCTATAGATGTGTTATTGTTTACCTGTGCAGCATTGAATTTTTCCAGATTTGTAAGCCACTTTGAGTCACTCTCAGGTCGCAAAAGAAACAAACTAAATAAATAATAAATAAACCATAGTCTTCCCTGTTTTAAGAGGGAGGTTTGGTTGAAGCTATTTCTGGACTTACATTTTTGGTTTGAACAGATACTAAACTAAAAAGTATGGTGAATACAATCCAGATCATGCTCTTCAGGGTTTCCCTGTGAGTAAACAAACTTTCATGGAGGCCCATAGATTAAAAGGTCATCCTGAACTTTACAGACCTCTTAAGTGCTGCAGTAGAGCAGTTTCTTTAACATCAAAAGAGCAAGTTTAGCTGTAAGGTGAAACTCAACAATGGCTTTCCTATTCCAAGCAATATACAATGCACACCTGAAATGAATGAACTGGACATGATTTACAGAACAACATGAGAGAAATTTAATTAGTTTTCCCAGTTGTGTTAATTTTTTTGTCAGGCTGTGTAAACAAACTGGATTTAGTGCTATTAGAAAGTTTAGGTTTCAATCCTTTAAACACTATTTGAAAATAAAAAGTACTAAACTAAATGGAATGCACTTCTGAGTAAGGTACTGCATAATCAAGACTGTCAGTTTAGATGTGGAACATTCTCTATTTGTTGCTGTGTATTGGTAAAGCCAACACTTTCCATGGATTCTGGGAAACAGCTGTGGGCAACCCAACATTTGTTTCAGTCTTACTGCCCATTTCAGCAGCTGTCTCCATATGGCAGTTTGGGTACTAGAACAAAAGAAACAACAGAAGAGCATGCCATATAACATAAAAGGAGCCTGGATAAATTAATTTTTTACTATGTGAATCCTCCAGCCAACACTGTCCATTTTAACAGGGGGCTTCTGAGAGTGCTTCCAAACAGCACCAAAAGCTGCATTTTATAAATGAGGCAAAAAATCCCACAGACCTGTCATTCCCGGGAAATGGTCCCTCGCTGTCCTCTCAGGCTTTCTTTGTAGTGGATCAAGATGGAGGGTGAAATGGGGACATTTGGTGGAAGTTTTTTTTAAAATTACACTATTATGGTTTGGACCTCATATGTGCACATGCATATATCTTAATGTAAACACAAGCAGATTCATATGTGTGCATATGAGGTTCAGCACATAACGAAGTGATTTTTTTTTAAAAAAAACTTTTGTCAGATCTCTCTCTTCATCCAATCGCTAATTCAAGCTCTCTTTAGTATTATCAAGTTTAAAAGAAAGAGTTTCAGAGAGTTTCAGAGAGTTCTAATTGCTTTCCTATTCTGCTTCCATTGAGCCACCCAGGTTTCTGTGGCTCCATGTCTGACAGCCTAATCAGCTGATCAGTTGTTTCAGGCTTTTAAAAAGTGCACATGTGCTGGAGCAATTCACACAAAGGTAAGGGAAAGGCAGGGCATGTTTTGCATGACTGCAGGTGCACATTTTGGAGGCAGAATAGGGATTTAAGTGCACCTTTTAAACATGTGCTTTTCAGCTGTTAACCTGATTCCATCAGCATTTGATGTGGTATGTCAGATAGTACATAGATGGACCAATAGTAAAATTTTGCTGCCTTAAACTAAAACTTGTACTTATCAGTATAGCTGTGGTCATTTGATTCTACCAAAAGCAGTTCTACCTCTGTTTACAAATTACTTTTGCTCACCAGCCCAACTAGCCAGTGAAGAGGTTCAAATACAGGGACCCTCCCTGCTTTGTAAGGCAGTCAATATAGTTGTGAATCATTACATTTGTCTCTTTTTCTTGTATTGTGTTGTCCAGCTGTTGTTATCTTTTGGTGATATAACACTGGCTTAGCAGTTTTAAATATCTACTTCTAGTTCCAACTGCAAAATGTAGTATAGCCCCAAGAGTGGACCATGTAAGCAGTTTGATAATATTTCAGGAGACATTACTTCCATTGGGAACTAAGTCATAAAGACTAAAATATGAAATTTGAGTTTTGATGGTAGAATGCCTTGTTCTTGACAATGTAAATGTTAAACAGACTAATTTCTAAAGGTGATGGTTCTTTGTGTTAAGCTTGGCTTGAAGCTGTGCTTTCAGGCTTTCCGTGTCATATGTGAGCATAATCATAAAAGAAAAAAACCCCCACTTTTCATACTCTCAGGGGCATTTCTGTCACATGTTAAACAGTTAGATGAGTTGGACTGCTGCACATTTAGCTCTGCTTTTGGGATTCCTTGTTTCTCCTCTCTGTTCCAGATATTTTTATTTTTAATTTGTTATAGAACTAATTCCCTGTACAAGCAATTACATTCAGTGCAGCCATGGTTGTGGGCAGACACCCAAAGGGCCTGTTTGCTTTTGTCCTGAGGACTCAGTTCTCCAAGCAGATGGAAGAACATGTTTAGGTGAGTAACAATATTTAAATTTCAGGACTGTATCTCAAAATGTTTGGTGAAGCACCAGCACTATTTGACAAAGAAGGCCAATAGCCATGTAAAACTATAACTCCTATGTTTCTAGAACATTGAACCATGGCTGTTAAAAGTGGCAACAAACTGCATTACTTCTACATCCTCAGATATCTGGCAGACCGAAACCATTTCAGGATTCATTATTGTCATACTTCAGTTCTGTTTGGGGACAGATTGCATTGGGACAGGAAACAATGAGTGGCTAGAGAAGTGATAAAAACATGCCTGTTTTAATCATGGGAAACGGCTTTGAAAAGAGAAGTTGCAATAAAACCGAAAGCACTCTCTCGACAAGTTTCAGGATCATTGGGTTTCACCGATTCATTATCCAAAGCCATTTCATATTGCAGTGTGAAAATCACTTTTATTTGATATGTCATTAAATGAGGTTCAGTTGTTTAATATCTACTGGAATTCATTATTTTTATACATAGATTCTACTGTGTGCCTTTTTTTTAAATACCGTGTTCTTCCTGGTATGTGTAGATGTGTTTTGCATATGTGAACTCCCTTCAACCATTTTTGGGGATGAAGTTATTTCTTCCAAATTGCTGTAGTTTTGTGAGACATTTGTTCTCCACTGTCAGAGAGCTCTGGTGTCACAACAAACTGCAAATTATAGGATTTTGTAGGATGGAGCTATGGCAGTTAAAGTGGTGCCGAACTGCTATAATTCTGCAGTGTGGCTCGTCTATATCAGTGCTTCCAAACCTTTGATTCTCCAGGTGTTTTGAACTTCAGCTCCCACAATGCCTAACAGCTGGTGAACTGGTTGGGATTTCTGGGCGTTGAAGTCCAAAACACCTGGAGAACCAAAGTTTGGTAACCACTGGTCTATATGGATGTTTTCTATAATGGCTACATAATCTGGCTATAATCCACGTTAACAAGAACTACATAATAAAAATAATGTATTGTTGATAGCCAGAGTTTGTTAAATTATCAGTAATGTTGTGGGAGAGGAGGGGAAGGAACAATCCAGATGCAACAATGGTAAATTTCAGAATGAGAGAGGAGGTTAGGTCGATGAAGTACATACCGTATTTGCAAATGTGTAGTTGAATCTCACAAAGGGATTCATGAATTATGGATTCTTTTTGCCTCACATAGAGTCTGGAGAGCAACAACTGATTTCAGAGGATAATAAATGCATTTGTGCTGTAGGCTAAACCCAATTGTTATTGGAGTAGGCCAACCAAATCAATGTCAGATAAGGGCTAACTTGGCAAATTCTCATTGATCCAATAAGCCTACTTTAGTTGCGATTAAGATGGGTTTAATCTCATATGTCATGGATTGGCCCTTGTCCATTGTCAAAGTTAGCCATTTTGAGGAACAGATTAACTTTTGTAGGGGTTGGAAGAAGTCTTCAAGGAGAGGAAGCCCTTCCTGCACTACTACTCTTACGTTCCTTATGTCAAAAAATCAAGGGTGGCTTTGTTTCTTCCAGAACTATTTGAGCCCCACATCTCAGCTTTTACCGAGGCTAGAGAACTAGCCTTTAATTTAAAAATGAATGGACAGAACAGAGGCCAAATGATGTACCAAATGGCCACTGGGTCACATGCCTAGAATCCAGATAAAATCTGGTTAGCTGGGCAATATGGCAATCATACACATAACAGAATTCTTTAAATTGGTTATCTCCAATACAAAGTGTTACCATACTTTGCTTAATGCCTGGTTGTAAGTCTAATTCAGAGCCTGCACAAGTTACTTTGTTAGACTGCAGTTGCCAGTACAAACCACCCAGGATGGGCAATAGCCATGATTCTGGGAGTTATAGCTTAATAAAGTAACATTTCTGGATTCTATTCGGTGCCAGTCTGATTTTAATTTATATTTCATTTTAGAATCCACATTTTTTTAAAAAAGGAAAACATTTTTTGAAGGCTGCACATCTGATAATGGTGGTTGCAGCCAGATCGGTACTTTTCTAAGTCCAACAACATGGGATGTGATTGTTTCCCTGGTTATATCCTCATGGAAGACAAGAAACATTGCACTGCAACAGAAAGTGCCGTGATGTTTGACTGTAATAGAAATATACATTATGTTAAAAGTTCTGGAAACACATGGTCAAATCTGGGAGAAACCAGTGGGGTCACTGAATCAAGCAGTGCAAAAAGTAAAATGGACAACTGCACTGTCACAATTTCTTAACCTTTCTCTTCTGGGATGCAACTTCTAAATTGCTTAAATTGAGTTTGTTGACTCAAACATGGGAAAAATAAAGCAATATGCTCTCATGTATGTGTGACTGTTTACAAAAAGTAAAAGTCTGCAGCATGGAGAAATTTTATTTCTTTCAGACTGATTTTTTTAAAAGGTAGAATCTTCCTTATTCTCACCTGTGCAGCATGGCTGTCTTCAGAAGGTCACTACTTTCATTTCATGATTTCAAAGTTTACAAAACTTTTTTAAAATAAAAAACTCTTTGTCAAGTTTGATATAGCGAAAGGAAAGGCAGAAAAGTGCAATTTCGAAAGGTCAGAATTAAGTGAATTAAGCAAAAACAAAGTAGTGACTCCTGAAGTAGCAAAATTTTAAATAAATACATAAAATGAAAAAAAAAACACACAAGGCAAGGATCAGGCAGCTGGACTACTGGGGCATCGCTGCTTCCTAGGGCACAGCCGATAGAAACATCCATTCCCCTAATAACACCAATTTGAATCAATGTGGGCGAATCTGACAGATCCTATCCCAAGTGTTTTTCAACGTTTTCTCCAGTTTTATGGTAATTCCTGAGTTCATCGCTGTCTGATTTCAGAGGATAGAATTGTCATTATGTCATGATAATTCAGTAGACCCTTGATATCTGCTGGGGTTTTTTCAAGTTGCCTATCCTAATGAAAATAAAATATTATCAAACTCCCATAAATCTAAAGTGATGTTTTCTCTAAAAGGAGCATTCTATTCTCCAACAGGAGAGTAGTTAACCCCCTGAAATTTCTTACCACTAGAAGAACCTCATGTGTATACATAAATATTTACTATGAGATAGATACTTCCTGGTGGCACAGTGCGTTAAACTGCTGTGCTGCTGAACTTGCTGACTGAAAGGTCAGTGGTTCGAATCCAGGGAACAGGGTGAGCTCCCGCTGTTAACTCCAGCTTCTGCCAACCTAGCAGTTAAAAAACATACAAATGTGAGTAGATCAATAGTTACCGGTTCTGCGGGAAGGTAACAGTGCACCATGCAGTCATGCTGGCCACATGACCTTGGAGTTATCTACTGGCAACGCCGGCTCTTCAGCTTAGAAATGAAGATGAGCACCACCCCCCAAAGTTGGACACAACTAGACTTAATGTCAGGGGAAAACCTTTACCTTTTAGATGCATAGATGAAAGATAATAGATAGATTCATACAATGGTTATAATGTTCAGCATGTCACATGTATTAATAGAGTATCAAATTTAACTAATGTCACATGTATTGATAGAGTATCAAATTTAATCTTTCATTTTATTTATTATCTCATTGCATTTTTTTTGGTTGGAATAACTGGTATTTAAAAATTTGAAACAGATAGGGGAAAGAATGGATGCTGCACATGTTAGCCTGACTTTTTTATTCAAATACTCCAGTCTACAGATTATAATGGGATCAGAAGAGTTAACATGCTCTGAAATTTATCCCAAACAGGATCCAAGCCATTTCTGTTGTTTGCAAACAGTCGAGACATCCGCCGCATTGGTTTTGATGGAACAGATTACTCAAGTATTCTCAGCTGGCAGATGGGAGCAGTCTTAGCTCTGGACTATGACCCTGTTGAAAATAAGGTGAGGTGTTTTTTAAAAAGAGAGGATTTTGAAGTATCACAAGGACACATGGTTTCTGCTTCTTTTACATTTTAACCCCTTAGTTGCTAGTGTACTGTAATAAAGGAGAGCTGCAATGTTTTGCTGAAGACTAAGCAGATAGCTGGGGTTTTGTTTATAGGACTTAAATTTCATTTAATTTAAGTTCTGCATTTGGACTTAGATCCCATCTTCAAGATATCTCATTATGAATGCAAAAATATATCAAAAGCATATATATATATATATATATATATATATATATATATCTCAAAATTTAAAATTCAAAATGTTTCTGGTTCTAACCCTTTTGTCTAGGGGGTACTCAGCTTTCTTAATAATTATTTAAAACAAGCTGTCCCCTGACACACATTGCTGTGGCGCAGTCTGTGTATATGTGTTTTTTTTGTGTATATGTGTGTATATGTATTTGTATATATGTGTGTATATGCGCGTTTGCATATATCTGTGTGGTTTTGTGCATGTGTTGTAATGTGTGTTTTTTGGCCTTTAAGTCTCTTCTGCTGTGTTTTTCAGTGTTTTTATGAGTGATGGTCACTCATTGGCCTGATAGGTATATTGTGTCCAAATTTGGTGTCAATTCGTCTATTGGTTTTTGGGTTATGTTAATCCCCAAACTAACATTACATTTTTATTTATATAGACGAGGAAAAATTAATATTATAAACCATTGGGTTATGACCCAAAATGCCTTTCCCCCTAATTTTTTTAAAGCTTTTCAATAAAGAAATGTTTTATTTATTAATGCTTTGGCACCTTTATAAATATGGTGCTCTCCATTTTTATATGTTAAAAAAAAAGCCATCGACCCCGAATAAGAGCTTTAGTGGTATGTCAAGGTCTTTAGGAAGTATAACTACTTCCTGACTTTCTGAAAAAAAGTAAAAACTTGGCTCTTTGAGAATGCAGCGGAATAGAGAACATGAAACTATGAATGATGAACATGGAATGGCCAGACAATATTACGGGAAAACGATTTTAACAAGATGACATTGGTGACTACATGTTTCAATGGTTTTATATATGTTTTTATATTGTTATGTTGACTGTTTTTAGTCACACTTTTATGAATACATGGCATCAAATTGTGCCAATCTGTAACCCGCCTTGAGTCGCCGTATGGTTGAGAAAGGCGGGCTATAAATGTTGTAAATAAATAAATACTAGGAGGCAATGAAAAGACAAGGAAGTGTTCATTATTGATTATTTGCCGATTTGTCCTACAAATGTTTGGGCAATCCTCCCCCTTTTTCTCCGTATCTGGGCCAAAATAACTGTGAGTGGCTGTGGGTGCAGACAAATATCATGTCTTGTCCTTGGTTGAGTCAAAAATGCAGTTAGTGTATTAAGTGATGGTTTCATCTCTTAGGGCAGAAATGCATTTCTCTTTTTGCTAATCTTATTTTATATCTTAACTTTTCTGAGAGTGCTATAGCCCATATCCTATTTAACCACATTCTCTAGTTTTTTTCAATGTACTGACTGTTTTGAGTATTGTGGCACATAGCATGAGTAATATAAGATTTTTATTTACCCAAGTCCTTATTCTTATTTTCAGATACAGAGATCAGTAGTAAAGCTCCCCTTAAGTGTATTGTTTTCCTGACTGTTTGTTTTATCCATGATAGAAAGTGGCAAAACTATGAGGAAGAACACGTGCACATGGACAGGGTACATAGTTTGCTTTTGCCTGAGCCTATAGGGAAAGGCAAGATTTGACCCTGTTTTGCCCACTCCTGAGCTGAGTGCAAACTACATTATTTTGCACTGAGTCAAGTAAGCCAGGGACAAAGTAGGAGGAGATAAGCAAAACTGGAACATTTAAAAGCAGTTGAATAAGTGGGATGATTGTAAAATCAGGATTTAGGGATCATAGAGTTAGAAGTGACCGCAAGGACCATTCAGTCCAAGCCCTTATAGATTCTGTCAAACTGGGACAGTTGGAGGGTAGGTATTATAGCTTGTTTCGCATGTCACCTGCCTCATTTAACAACTTTCAGAAGTAAAAACAAGGTCCAGCATTACAACCTGACTCCTTTTAAGGCTTATGTTTTGTATTATGGATTGGCAGCCTGAAAGCAAAATGAAGGATATTGAGGATACCGTATATAGGGCAGCTTGGATTTATGTGCTAAGCATGCTCAGGTTGCTGGAGTCATTCTGGTTGAAGGATAAGTGCCTGCTTATTTGATCCATAATCGTGGACTATGTTTTTGTAAATAACATATATCCCCCCACCAAAATAAAGAAATGTCACAACTAAGGACATGAGATAAGAAAATCTGAACCAGAAATAACAATAATTAGTTATAAACTTTTATTTTCTCATTACAGATTTATTTTGCCCACACAGCCTTGAAGTGGATAGAGAGAATTAATCTGGATGGCACAGATCGTAAAAAAGTTATCCACGAAGCAACCCAGAGACCTGAAGGACTTACTGTGGACTGGATTAACCGCAAATTGTATTGGACTGACCCCGGGTATGCTTTCATCTCAGATATTATGGGACATTTAATGCCAGCATAAGGCATGGCAATAAAGAAGGACTAACTGAAATGCTGTTCTGAAATGTCCGTATGCTTTTGTGTGCTTGAGGCACGTCATAATATGAGGATTCAGCACCAGAAAAAACAATTATCCAGTGCTGAAGGGTCAGACAGACATTTGGTTGAATGCTATGCTAGATAGACATGGCTGAGTCTTGTTGTGGTGTGTCTTCAAGTCATTTCTGACTTGAGATGAACTTAGAACAGGGTTTCCTTGCCAAGATTTTTTCAGAGGGGATTTGCCTTTTCCTTCCATAGCCAGGAGGTCTGAACCCTGATTTCCAGAGCTGTAGTTCAGCACTCCAACCATTTACACCACATGAGAGCCAGTGTTTACATTTAACACTAGAACTGTAAATGTTGGGAGGAAAAGAAGACAGTTTTAGAAGTTTTGTATCATTTCATTGTTTTTGATTTCAGGGAGTTAAAGAGGAGTAATATAGTTTGGGGGTTACTTTGTAGTTTGGGGAAGCACTGACATGCTCTTGCAATATAATTATTGATGCCCCCCCCCCCTAAACTGGAAATTTGCTCTGAGTCTCCTTCAGGGTTTGAAGGGTGGGGTATAAATAGAGTAAATAAATAAATAAATAAATAGGATTCCATGGGACTGAACCATGGTAGTTAAAGTGGAATAATAGCACTATAATTGCATAATGTGAAAGATATTCTACCCCTAAAATATTCTATTATAACTGCTGTTATTGTTATTGAAAGAATATCTACCCCTAAGATATTCTATTATAACTGCTGTTGTTGTTCATCATTTATATAACTAACAAAATGCTTGGGTCACAGCAAAACATTAAAGCTCTTATCCAGCTAGTTTACAATTGGTATTGGAGGGACCAGCCCGAGAAGGTAAGGTCAGAAATGGAGTTTGATACAGATGAAAATAGAGCAGGTAAAGTGAATTGTTTGTAGCTGTAGCATTTTGTACTCCTGCATTTTGATTATAGTTACAGCCTAAGCTTGTCTTTTGATTTAATACATTTATTGTAACAACAATCTAAATGTGTGTACATATTTCAGGAAGTTCTGTATTGAAAGCAGTAACCTCAATGGACGGCAGAGGAAAATAATTATTCAGGGAGAGATGTCTCATCCACGAGGAATTGCTGTTCATCCTTTCACTGAGTAAGATATACAACCTGCTTTGAAATAGTAGGTGTGGTGGAACTACCCAATCCAATCTAGTACTTGCCATATGTCTTGTACTACAAATCTTAGGCTGATAATTGCTGGTGGAGAGACTCCAAAGGAAAACAAATATTAAATTGTTGTTTAGATTTGTCTTTCGGTATACCTGCTGTATATTGCAGGGGTGGGCAACTGTGTGAGTTCCACTGGGAAGTTTTCTGTGCCTTGGATCCTCTAGTGAAAGAATACAGTGGGGAAAAACAGTGTGGGCTTGGCATTGTCTGTGATGGATGGGAAATCCAGGGAGCTGTCAAAAAAAAAAAAACTTTCAAAATTCTAACTTTCCTAACTTATGAGCTAAGTCTTGTTGTGTTTACCAATGGTTTATATGCATTCTCTTTTTATTACAAGGTGAAAATGATTTTTTAAATAGTTAAATCTACACAATGATTTATTTCTGTTTTTCTTCAATTGAGGCAAATATTTTGGACTGACCTAGGCATCAACCCAAAGATTGAAAGTTCTTCCTTACAAGGTTCCAATCGACGTATTATAGCAAACTCAAATTTGCTGTGGCCCACTGGAATAACTATCGATTATTTTGCGGACAAATTGTATTGGTGTGATTCAAGAAAATCTGTGATTGAGACCGCAAACCTAGATGGTTCTAAAAGGCAGATACTCACACAGAATGATGTAGGTGAGGCTTTGGGATTGATATTTAATTATTTTATGCATCAATAAAACCAGTTTCGGGGTTATTAAATGTCTTGTGAAATCTATTAACCATTGTGTGCAAGATTAAAAGAGATTCTTAATCAAGTTTTTGAAACCTTTATATCAAGCTGAATCCTTGGACCCCAAATATACTGTTATAATTATGTGACACATAACAGATTATATGAGTCCAAAGCCCTTTCTGGGTAAAAACACATCTGTTTATCAGTCAAATATTGCTGTCAGGACATGGATTGGGGTGGTTGTTTGACCTAGAGGACTAATTGTACCAGTACTGCTATTGCTTTTCATACACAATATTATTATGAAATTGGAGGCTAGGCTGCTAATTCATTTAAATAGTCCTGGTTTATTCAGTGAATTTTGAGATTTTATACTAATTGACATAAGGGAGAAAAGGGGTAGAGAGAGGAAATATAAGAGTACCTTTAGTACTAACTCATGGGGGGGGGGGGAAGCACCTTCATTGTTATCAATCCACTTAGTCACTCTACTGAACTCTGACTCATTTTGGGCCTCAATCCTAGGGGAAAATCAGGATAACAACAATACTCAAATAAATATGTTGTCTTGTCCACTTGCTATACTGACTGGTTGGGGTATTCTGGAAGTGATGCCCCTGTCCCAAAGTAACTTTACTAAGCTCTGTCTTTTTGCCAAAAGACATATGCTTTTTGCAACAAGTCAGGTGACAGGGGATAAAATAAGGTAACACTTCAGACTTTGTAAAGAGGAAGGAAGAGAACTCCATGCTGCTCAAAAAGAATATCATTTAAATAAGGATTCTTATCACAGTACTACTGCCATCTACTGTCACTTCTTCTAGTGACATCTAGTGAATAGTGAGAGCATTCAAAATATACAACTTTATCACACGGGGCTTTTCCCCTGTCCTAGGACGCTGCCAAGATGCAGCCAGGATGGAGCCTGCTGGAGCCCATCAAATGATGCAGAGCTACTTCCAGCAGGGCTCTGTATTGGATCTGTCTCCAAAGCATGGTCAGAGGCAGACCTGAGAACATGGGTGACTGTCCATTTTCTCATTCATTAAGCCAGGGCAAGTGCAGCAGGAAGCCAGGGCAGCCGGAAAATTTTCTGCAAAGTTAATGGGATGAAGTGATGCACTTGCCCCATGGTTTCTCTTGCTGCTGCACAATTTCCTCATCCTCTGGCTTATGGACCTCCGTCTGATGAGGTCCATAGCCCGCCTGAGTCAGTATGCAAAGGGATCTAGTAGCATCCTTGAGACTGAGGGAAAGATGTTTGTAGCATAAGTTTATATAAACTGGTTGTTATATAAAGATTGTTGTTTTCTATTTCGTATGCAATCTATGAATATCTATGCAATCTATGAATATTTTTACTACAAACCTTTTTCTTTTAGTCTCAAAAGTGTTCCAAGATCTGTTTGCATATCTGAAGAACAAGATACCTCAAAGAAAAGTGATCTATATTACATGGAATAATGGGATCATATCTTCTTTTTCTATTATTTCTTCCTCTTCTTCCTCCTCCTCCTCCTCCTCTTCCTCCTCCTCCTCTTCTTCTTCTTCTTTTCTTCCACAATTGTATATAGTGCTTTACAAGAATATGAGAAAGCAGACTGACAAAGGCATGATATGTTGTATTTTTAGGTCATCCATTTGGCATAACAGTGTTTGAGGATTATGTTTGGCTCTCTGACTGGTCAAAGCCTTCATTATTGAGAATGGACAAGAAGACTGGCCTTGACAGAGTGCGCCTTGGAGGCAGCATGCTGCGACCCTCGTCACTGATTATTATCCATCCTTTAGCAAAACCAGGTATATTTCAGGGGTGAGACCCTGCAGTCCTTTCCATGTGTTATTCATTACCTGCTAGGTAGATTGTCTGAAAATGTCAGTTGCAGATGAGTTGTCTTTAGTGCAATGGTGAGGAAATTTTGGCCCTCTAGATGTTTTGAAGCACCCATGGAATTTGTTTTAGTTCAGTGAAAAAAAACTTAAAACATTTAGGGAACTGAAGGTTTTTTACATCTGTTCAAAATAATGAAAATAGCTGCCATAGCAAAGGATTAGATTAGATATCTATTCAAATCTGAAAATCATGACTAAGAGAGCAATCCAGATATGTGATGTTCTCCCCACCTCTCTCTCCCCCCTCACTCTCTCTCTCTCTGACAATTCTTTTTTTTTTTTGCCCAGTTTATTTCAGAAATAGGCAATTATCCATTTGCTTTCTGCTTCAAATTAGGAACTGCGTATGTTACTCTGGCATTTGTTCAGTCTAGTCAGAGTTCCAAAAAGTTATTTTTCAGAAATTTATATCCCCCTCTTTCCTCCAAAGAAGCACAGGTACACCCAGCTAATAAAGCTTTTGACATATATGCTCTTTTTTACAAAGTCTTTTTTATACTTCCTAGACCTCCCCCCCCCCTTTCCTCCTTGTCTTCTGCCTAGCTAGAAGGTTTTTTTAGGAGCATAAACACAAGGAAGGATGATGAAGGAGGTCTGCAGAAATACACTGTTTCAGTGTTGGGTTGCATCAGAGTGTTTGCAGCAAGTGATGCAAGAAAGTGTGAGATGAGCATCTTGTGTTTTGCTCTATCTGATCTTACTGTTGCTCTCTCTATCTGCCTAAAACAGGCAAGATGAATAGCAGTTGCCTTCATAATCTCTTACTCAGCATGCATGAATAATAAACTGAGACAGAAGGGAACACAGATAAACCTGTCTCCCCAGCTATCACTGATACATTAATGAAACATGATCAAACATTTGGCCACCAAAATAGAAATCATAAACAAAATGGAATCTCGTGGAAGATTTTTTTTTAATCCCTAGATACATTTTGGAAGACATTCAAGTGTTTTCTAGAAGACTCAAAATGTTTCTGTTTATAATGCATGACTTGCCTGACTTGGTTGTTTCATTTGATGCATGGGTATTGTTATTTTTGAATAGTCAGTTTGTTGAAAAATGTTGAACTGCTCTTCTTCTTTTTTTTGTGGAGCAGAAATTTATTGATTTTCTTTCCAATGTTATTTCCGCCTCTAGCATCAAATTTCTGTTTAAAAAGTAATGCCCAAGAAGACATCTAGCTTATTAATGAAGTACACTCAGTAATTGCAAATTATGGAGCAGTGGCTAATGATGAGTTCAGCAGCCTGACTTGCTCAATCATTCTTTATTGTTACAGGCCATATGTTTACATCGAAGGAAGGTGGCCCAGCTAACAAGATGTCTGTACTGGGTACATTCCCCCAGTATCCCTTGGCTAACAGTGCATCCAGAGACAGCATCAAACAAGATCTACAGACAAAACAGGAGCTGACTGCGGAAATCGTGGTGTCTAGTAAAGATTGTTTTCTATTTTGTACTGGCACAGGAAGTAGAGAAATGATACATCTGGAGTTGGGCAGAGTGTACACCTTCTACCTGTCATAGTTTAGTAGAGAAAGTCCACTTTAATAATTTGTTGTCCCATTTTCTTAGCTAGTTTTTAAAAGGTCCTAGTTGCTCACTTTTCTTCCTACTTTCTCATTTCATCTTCTGCTTATTGCAGTTGCTGTAAACTGACTTCAAAGTGCAAAAGGGGTTTGTACTTTATCAAAAAACCAGAAGAGAGAAGAGAGGTCAAAGAGTTATCCATTGTCAGTATATACACACCAGAATTTCTTTGCTCAAAGTAGTAGTTCTTAGTGTATTTCCTCATCTTTTAAAAAGGGCCCCATGAGCCTAACACAAATCTATCCCCTAAAAATTGAAAATTGGGGAGACTTTGGATATGATTTTTGCTGATTTTTAAAAAGGGTTTTTTCTTGGGAATGGAAAAAATGGCTTTGAGAGGTTCCATGTGTCCTTCAGGGTATACTTTGCCTATGCCAGTGTAGATGATATTGAGCTAGAGATGAACCAGCGTGGATGTAGTATAGGGATGTACTCTAGTTGAAATCAAGTCTAATAGCAAAAGGCAAACAAATTGGCTCAAAACAACTAGCTATTCTGAGTTCATGCATGAACCTTGAAAAAAAATGACTTGTACTTTTTGTTGTCACTTTTTACCACAGACCGGGACCATTGCACATGGTTGGGATGTGACATCAATGCCCAATGCATTTCAAATGAAGGTGGTGCTACTTGTCAATGCCAGATGGGGTTCGTCACAGAAGGCCAATTGTGCTATGGTAATTTTAATGTTGTACTCCAACAACACCAAATTTAAATTCTGTGAATCCCAAATTTCCACTTAAATTCCCACTGGTTGGTGGTTTCCATGTAATTTAATGTACTAGAGATGTCAGCCTAAACTGTAAATGAGGCATCCAATCTATGACAAATTCAACATTTTGGATAGGTCCTTTACAGTTTAGACTGGAAAAGCTGGAACAGATTCTCCTCTCCACTAACATGGCACCCACCTGCTGCTACTGTTAAAACACAGTTTTTAGTCCAAAGGTAGATGACATTACAATTAATATTTGTCTTCTTGTAAGAATCTAATAGTTTCTGAAATAAAACACTCAGAGTTGACATGCAGCAGGGTAATCCAAACCAGTTAGTAGCCAAACCAGTACTCACTGACTGTTCTGGTTGAGATATAAGATCTTATTTGTTGATTCCAACACATACTACACTCTCAGAATGATCAGAGAAATTACCAAATAATTGAATCTATTTTGAGAATCCTGAAATTTGCTTGTACAACAATGTTACACGTCTTCCGCAGAAGCCAAATTGCCCTTGTTCATTATGAATACACTTACAAAATGTCACTTAAAAATTGCAATGCCAAATTGTTCTTTTGTTTCCTGCTATCTTTGTCTTTTCTCCCATTTTTGATACTGCTTGTCTTGTAGATCTTGATGAATGTGCTTCCAGTGTGGACCAGTGCAACCAGAGCTTGTCAATGTGCATCAATACTGAAGGCAGCTATTTTTGTGAATGTCTTGTGGGATATACAGAAGATGGCCTTCATTGTCCTGGTGAGAATTACTGTCTGAGGGCAGTTACTGACTGCCTTCTAAAATCTTGCATTTGGGTTTACTTGTTCATGCCATTTGACAGAAACTATGTGTGAAAATGTCCCTTGCTAATGGCAAAACTGCCCACCCATTAGCTAGCTGCAACTGATTGACCTCAGTATGGTTCTACATTATGTGCCCTTAGACTATGTTATGCTGAAGGGGGAGCGACCCAGAGGCGACTTCCGGTAAGATGGCGGAGAGCTAACAGCTGGGTTTGCTGAGCGGTCCGGTGAGATCATCTAATCCGACCTCAATCCCCCTCATTCAGATTCCCCTAATTCTTCAACTGCCACCACTAGCTCCCAGGGACTTGTAGGAACCCCTGGGGGGCTCTTTGGCGAGCTTCCATCTAAGTTAGGAGGAGTAAGAGGAGGAGGGAGGAAAAAAGGGAGGTAGAACGCCGAGGCCCTTCCATCTAGGGCCTAGTAAGAGCGTTCCCTCCCAGCTGTGATTGCGGCGGCCAGACCATCCGACCCTTCGACCGAACCTCAGCCCGGGAGGTGTATTGGCCCCTGACCGCCCCTGACCGACCCCACGCCACCGGGAGAAGCGGGACCTTGCAGCCGCCGTGGACGCCGCGGACACCATTGCTGCTGGAGGGCCTATCAAGACGCTATTCTAGCCGCGCCGCCAGGTGTTTCGCTGGCGCGCCTCTTTTTCGGGCTCCTTGCCATCTCAGTGTTGGTCTGCTTAGCGGTTCTGCTGCTGTGGGGGCCTTGTAGAGCCTCGGACCATCCGGGAGAGGCGGTCCGCGCCCTGTGTCGCCGTGACCGCCGCCATTGTTGCGGCCGCCATTACTATCATCGCGGCCAGGCGCAGCTGGAGGCGCCCCTCCCACTCCGCTCCGCTCTCTGAATGTGAGGGAGAGACAAGCCGCCACCTTCCAACTAACCTCGGCCGCCACCGCCGCTGCCGCGACCGCCATTGTTGCCATCGCGACCAGGCCGTGGCTGGAGCCGCCTCCCCCTCTCTCCGAGAGTGGGAAAGAACGAACTGCGGCCAGCCCGGCCTGTGCCGCTCCCGAGTTACTCCTGAGTCACTCCTGTATTTCCAGCGGAGCGAGGAGGGCCCAACAGCGAAACCTAACACTCTGGACTGGAGGGCCTGTTCCTCGGCCTGATTTCCTCCGTACCCCTGGGTGGCGCTGTCTTCGTGGTTCCATCTTCTGCAGCCCACCCTTCGTGGTCCATCTTCGACAGAGGCCCCAAGATCAGCAGGGCGGGCCCTATCGACGCATCCGGATGACGTCAGTGCTCCACAAAGTGACGCGTCCCGCGCCTTGACTGGGAAACTCTAGGAGCAGCCCAACGACAGCGAGCCTAATTAACGGTACTCAATCACTCGGAGCTCAGCGGTTCCCACGGGACTCTGTTCGAGCACGATCCATCAGTTGGCTAGCAGGAATCCCCTTTGTCATAGCTGCTGTTACATCGACCGTCATTATTTGTGTCACCATCTATTATATTGTCATCTCACATATCGCCTCTACTCCGGAAGAAATACCATCAATTTAATATCTTACTATCAACTTAATATCAGATTCTAGAGCTACTGTGGACATCTCCATCTAACATTCCTTGTAAAGTTTCACAACAGCCGTAACCTGGGGATCTTGTAAGATCTACTCCCTCTGCCCTTCTGACCATGTCTGTTGCACTGGAGGGAGGGGGGCTAAATGGGAATTAGATATAACAACAAAACTGAGGACTTTTATACAATCTGCATTGCTGCTGTACTGTTGTCATAGGAGTATTATAACAATCGTCTTGACCAATGCTGCTATCCTCCGTCTGCCAGCACTTTATCCATTGAGTATAATCTGCACTTTAGAATTTGCGCACTTTATTCCATTACGCCTATACTACAGCACTTTAGCCTTTAACAACGTAAGAAGCTAAAGCACTTTATAATCCTCTTAACTCTAACGTCTGCACTTAACTGCCTGCTGATACTTGAATATCCATGTCGGCCCTCATTCATTGGTACCTACTAACAATACTGTTGATAAATTGGGAAGGGGATAGAGGGTGGAGCGGGTGGAAAAATTCCAGAAACAGCATAGCAGGGTTAGAAAAAGATTGGAAGGAGATAGTACGGAAGAAAGAAAAAGCAATAGAGGAAATAACCTGGAAAGAACTATGGGATGAAGCTATAATTTTGAAGGGAAATATGGATGAAGTGGGGCATTCCATTGGTCGAGGGGTCCCCATAGAAACCATAACGGGGAGGGGGAGATGCGGGAAAGGGAGACCATCAATTCGGTCCAAAATTCGGCCTAAAAATAGTGGAAAACCAATAACCCAAATTCGGCCTAGGGAGAGAAGAAAAAACTCAAAAAATTTAATAATTTGTAATCGGTCTCCTGACATGGTAAGTCGGTGTACTCAGGATGGCGGTCCCTCTGGGTTGAAGATGGTGCTGTTGAACGCCAGATCTGTCAACAGGAAAACATCTTTCATCCAAGATTTAATTTTGGAGGAACGGGCAGATCTGGCGTGCATTACGGAGACCTGGCTGGACGAAGCTGGAGGAGTAAATTTGACCCAGCTTTGTCCACCAGGCTTCTCCGTTCAGCAGCAATCGAGACCTGGAGGGCGGAGAGGCAGAGTTGCGGTAGTCTATAAAAATTCCATCCCCCTGACCAGAGGCCCCATCCCGCAGTCAACTAATTTAATGTGTCCACCTGAGGGTGGGTGACCGGGACAGAATAGGGATTCTGCTAGTGTACCGCCCACCTCGCTGCACTACGGTCTCCCTACCTGAGCTAGCAGGGGTGGTCTCGAGCCTGGCATTGGAGTCCCAACGGCTTCTTGTGCTGGGGGACTTCAATGTACATGCCGAGGCTACCCTAGGAGGAGCGGCTCAGGACTTCATGTCTTCCATGGCAACCATGGGGCTGTCCCAACGGGTATCTGGCCCCACCCACAGTGCTGGACACACATTAGATCTGGTTTTCTGCCAGGGATGGGAGCAAGGTGGCGGTGTTGAGGAGTTGTCCACCTCTCCGTTGCCATGGACCGACCACTATCTGGTCAGATTTAGACTCACTGCACCTCCTAACCTCTGCAGAGGTGGGGGACCCATTAAGTTGGTCCGCCCCAGGAGGCTTATGGATCCGAACGGATTCCTGACGGCTCTTGGGGATTTTCCCGCCACCTCAGTTGGTGATCCTGTTGATGCCCTGGTGTCTCTCTGGAATGGGGAGATGACTAGGGCAATAGACACGATTGCTCCGGAACGTCCCCTCTCAAGTAGCCGAGCTAAACCAGCCCCTTGGTTTACTGAGGAGCTGGCAGCGATGAAGCGAAGGAAGAGGAGACTAGAGCGCGTGTGGCGTTCGGACCCGAGCGAGTTAAACCGAACACGGTTTGTTGCCCTTTTAAGGGCATATGCCGTGGCAATAAAGGCGGCAAAGAAATCTTTCTTTGCGGCCAATATTGCGTCCGCAAAGAACCGTCCGGCTGAGCTGTTTCGAGTTGTCAGAGGTCTGTTAAATCCCACCACTTTGGATGGGAACCCTGACAACTCGACGGCCCGCTGTGAAGCATTTGCTCGGTTCTTTGCGGACAAAGTCGCTTTGATCTGTTCTGACCTGGACACCATGTTAACGGCAGTCTCAGAGGATGTAACACGAGCATCTGCTTATCCGATTTCGTTGGATTCATTTCAATTGGTGAAACCTGAGGATGTGGACAAGATACTTGGAGGAATGAGAGCTACCACATGCATCCTAGACCCCTGCCCATCCTGGCTTCTAAAGGAGGCCAGAGGGGGATTGGCCGAGTGGGTGAAGGTGGTGGTTAATGCCTCCCTTTGGGAAGGCAAAATTCCAGCCAGCTTAAAACAAGCTGTGATAAAACCGCTGTTGAAAAAACCATCACTGGATCCCACTCAATTCGTCAACTATCGGCCTGTTTCCAATCTTCCCTTTTTGGGCAAAGTCCTGGAACGTGTGGTGGCCTCACAACTCCAGGTATTCTTGGTAGACACTGATTATCTAGATCCAGCACAGTCTGGTTTCAGGCCGGGACACGGTACTGAGACAGCCTTGGTCGCCTTAGTGGATGATCTGCGCAGGGAGCTAGACAGGGGGAGTGTGTCCCTGTTAGTTCTGCTGGACCTCTCAGCGGCCTTCGATACCGTCAACCACGGTATCCTTCTGAGACGCCTCGCGGGAATGGGCCTTGGTGGCACTGTTCTGCAGTGGCTCAGGTCCTTCCTAGAGGATCGTACTCAGAAGGTGTTGCTGGGGGACAACTGCTCTACCTCACAACCATTGTCTTGTGGGGTTCCGCAGGGCTCAATATTGTCCCCCATGTTATTTAACATCTACATGAAGCCGTTGGGAGAGATCATCCGGAGTTTCGGGGTGCGGTGTTATCTGTACGCAGATGACGTCCAACTCTGTCACTCCTTCCCACCTACTACTAAGGAGGCTGTCAGGTCCTGAACCGCTGCTTGGCCGCTGTGTCGGACTGGATGAGGGCTAAATTGAATCCAGATAAGACAGAGGCACTCCTGGTCAGTCGAAAGGCCGAACAGGGTATAGGGTTACAGCCTGTGTTAGACGGGGTTACACTCCCCCTGAAGACGCAGGTTCGCAGCTTGGGTGTGATCCTGGACTCTTCGCTAAGCTTGGAACCCCAAGTTTTGGCGGTGTCCAGGGGAGCATTTGCACAACTCAAACTTGTGCGCCAGTTGCGCCCATACCTTGGGAAGTCTGATTTGGCCACGGTAGTCCACGCTCTGGTTACATCCCGGATTGATTACTGCAACGCGCTCTACGTGGGGTTGCCCTTGAAGACTGCCCGGAAGCTTCAGATGGTCCAGCGCTGGCATTGTTAACGGGAGCGGCACTCAGGGAGCATACCACTCCTCTGCTGAGCCAGCTCCACTGGCTGCCAATCTGCTACCGGGCACAATTCAAGGTGCTGGCTTTAGCCTATAAAGCCCTAAACGGTTCCGGCCCGCTTACCTCTCCGAACGCATCTCCACCTATGAACCGACGAGGACGTTAAGATCGTCCGGGGAGGCCCTGCTCTCGGTCCCGCCTGCGTCGCAGGCGCGGCTGGCGGGGACGAGGGACAGGGCCTTCTCGGTGGTGGCCCCTCGGCTATGGAATGCCCTACCCGTAGACATCAGGCAGGCCCCTTCGTTGCTGGAGTTCCGGAGGAAGGTCAAGACGTGGCTCTATGAACAGGCGTTCGGTCAACATGGCAATTGAACTCATGAAGACGGTATAAATGAACAAGGAATGGTAGAAGGATTACGAGAACGGAATCTGATTCTTACTGAGGCGTTGATGACTATGTTGTGTTGTTGTGTTGTTTTGTATTGTCCGTTGTGTATACTGTGTTTTTAACTAATTGTTATTGTAATAAATTGCATTGTAAACCGCATTGAGTCGCCGAATTAGGCTGAAAAATGCGGTATAAAAATAAAGCAAATAAATAAATAAATTATGCGGCTTATATTCACACTGCCAATTTTCAGCCTTAGGCTTGGTTCACAGGGGTGGCAATTGTAGAGAGTAAGGGAAATATTTATTAATAAATTTACATCAAAGGTGAAGAATGTTCTGTCCTTGAGCCTACAAGGGGTGCTGTGGGTTTTAATTTTGAATTGGTTTTAATTATTTTTAACTGGGAATTTTTAAAATACTGTTTATATTTAATCCTGTTTTAATGTTCGTATATTTGTAAATTTTAAATGATTATGCTAATGCTTTAATGTTAAGCCACTTTCAGTCCCCGTCGAGGGAGATAAAGTAGGGTTGAAGGAGGAGGAGGAGGAGGAGGAAGAGGAGACTCTCCATGGACAGTTCCTGGAAAAATTGAGAGTAAGATTGACAAGGAAAAAAACATGGATGTGGCTCAGAAATAGAACTTTGAAAAAGGAGCTGGAGGGTCTGAGTCTTGCTTCCCAAGAATAAGCAATTAGAACAAATGCCATCAAAGCCAGAATTGAAAAGTTGACTACAGGTTCCAAAAGTAGACCCTACAAGGAAGCAGACGAAATGATGGATCACATACTCGGCTGCTGCAAGAAGATCGTGCAGACAGACTACAAGCAGAGGCATAATATTGATGCTCAGATGATCCGTTGGAACTTGTGCCACAAATACCATCTGCCTGTGACAAAGAACTGGTGGGATCATAAGCCTGAAAAAAAGTACAGAAAATGAACATGTCAAACTACTCTGGGACTTCCAAATTCAGACTGACAGAGTTTTGGAGCACAATACTCCTATTAAGAGAGTGCCTTGGACTGCGAGAAGATCCAACCAGTCCATCCTCCAGGAAATAAAGCCCGACTGCTCATTGGAGGGAAAGATACTAGAGACAAAGTTGAAGTACTTTGGCCACATCATGAGGAGACAGGAAAGCCTAGAGAAGACAATTATGCTGGGGAAAGTGGAAGGCAAAAGGAAGAGGGGCCGACCAAGGGCAAGATGGATGGATGGCATCCTTGAAGTGACTGGACTGACCTTGAAGGAGCTGGGGGTGGTAACGGCCGACAGGGAGCTCTGGCGTGGGCTGGTCCATGAGGTCACGAAGAGTCGGAGACGACTGAACGAATGAACAACAACAACACTCCTATTAAAAAGCCAAGTATGGATAACTGATTTTGCAATCCTAGGTGACAGCAGGATTGACAAGAAGCAACTGGCAAAGCTGACACAATACAAAGATTTAAAACCCAACTGCAAAGACTCTGGCACAAGCCAGCAAAGGTGTTCCCAGTGGTGATCGGCACACTGGGTGCAGTGCCTAAAGACCTTGGCCTGAACTTAAAAACAATTGGCACTGACAATTACCATCTGTCAGCTGCAAAAGGTCACACTACGCAGATCTGCATGCATTATTCGCTGATATATCATATAGTCCTAGACACTTGGGAAGTGTCTGACGTATGATCTGATACAACAGCCAGCATAGTGATCTTGTTTGCCATGTACTAATCTTTTTGTGTATATAATAATAATAATAATAATAATAATAATAATAATAATAATAATATAATAATACCACTCTTGAGTCCTTTATCAATGGCCATGCTGAGCGTGCCTGGTAGGAGTTCTAGCCAAGCATGTCCCACCCTGTCTTAAAAATGAAGAATTATTGAATTTTAAACTGCAGTGCTATGCAAATCTATAGCCTGATGAAAGGCATTGTAAGGAAGGCAAGAAGTAAGTTATTAGAAAATATTCCTTCCCCAAAGAAACACAGGTCAAAATGAAGATTCAAGAATTTGAATTAACATGTTAATTAATTTCTTCTAAACTAGCCTATGGGTCATCATAAGCCACTGTAAAACTTGCAAGTTCTGAAAGTCAATTGCCATTCATTATCCTCTTATTTTAGCCACTTCCTATGCCATGTAATTTGCAACATCAACAATTCATCAATATTCAAAGCCTCCAGTTGTGAGTAGATGTTTTCTTCTCCTTTTGTTTGGCAGTGCTAATGGGTCTGTGTATATCAGTGAGAAATGAAAAGATGATCCAGCAGAGATTTATTGGAAAGCTGTACCATGTATTTAAATGAAAACGAGCATTGAGTCTGCCATAATACTCATCAAATAATTTTATGTTAGTTTAATAGTCATGAGAGTCAGACAGCTGACATTTAAAGTCTGAGTACATTTAAATCTATGTTCCTAATCAGATTCACTGATCCCCATAGCTAGAGGTCTGGCATTAAATCATCAGTACAGTGTCTCAGCGCATTATATCTGAGTTCGGCATTGCAATAAATAATAGATATAAGGATTGGTGGTTTTAGCAGTTTGTCATCCTACCCCTCTTTGGGTGATTCATACAGGATTGGGCTATTGCAATACACTTCACATGGCGTTTTCAGTCTACCGCTATTGCAAACTAGAACCTGGAAAATTACTTTAAAAAGCAACTGAATTAGCAACTGAAGTAAACCGAGGGTAAAAGGAGGGAAAGAGGGGGAAGAAGAGAAAGAAGCTGGGGCGTTTTAAAAATACTTGACAAGGTGGAACAACAAAGGATTAATCAGAACTATTCCTACCATATGAGCTGAAGGATATGTGGTACACTTTTTAAATAGTTGCTTTAATTTCCTTGCTTTTCAAGTTCCTGGTGACATTGGCACCTCAGCACCTGCAAACAAAAGGAAATAGGTCGAGATGACATTTGAACCATGGGATATTTCTTTTACCCATTTGATGAAGTCACATACCTTTAACCACAAGAGTAGCTTTGAAAGAGATGCCATTGTGCTGGAAAAGAGTGAAGCCAAACTTTGTCAAGTTAAAATCAAATCACCATTTTTCCATTGAAGGAGGAAGAAATCACAAGAATGTATATGTTCGAACTGAAGAGCAGAATGTGGCAACTAGGCTTCTTAATGGACTATCCCATCACCCATGTGTTTTGGCCTATAACTCCCAGAAATCCCCGCCAGTTTACCAGCTATTAGGGTTTCAAGGAGTTGAAGTCCAAAATACCTGGGGACCCACAGGTTGAGAACCACTGATCTAGAGGACAAACTGGGTTGTTGTATGTTTTTCAGGCCATGTTCTAGAAGCATTGTCTCCTGACATTTCACCTGCATCTATAGCAGGCATCCTCAAAGGTTGTGAGGTCAAAAAAATCTACATCAACCCAGTGATTCCGCCCATGAAAACCTTTGACAATACATAGAGGACAAATGTATGCTGTCGCTGCTGGGCCTATAGCAATTGGCTTTTGAACAGGACGTGCTCTTTGTGCCCAGCAGGAAGCCGGGGTGCCTCGGATGAGAGGCCCTATGGGTTTTCCTATACAAAGTCTTTAGAAGCTTAAAAGTTTAACAAAGTTCTTTATTATTGCTTAGGTCTTCAACAAACAATCTTAGCTCTTCAACAAATCAAACAAATGCTTCTTAACTTGTCTACAATGGACAGGCAACTTGCTTGGAGAACTATTTCTTTTCTTTACGAGGAAAACCCTTTTTGACCCCTCCTTGGGCAATCTGCTTTCTAGGCTTTGCTGGTGTGGCCCCTACTCCCAGCTCCAAATTGCTTCTTGGGTACCCTAGGAGACCTAGCAGCCAAGGCTCTGAAGAATTTCCAGCTGGAGTCCTTAGGATTTTTCCCACGAAAGTTGTAGGTCCGTTTCTGTAACCCCAACAAAGGTTGTGCTGTAAAGCTGTTTCTCTTAAAAGCTTTTCTTTAAAGACTTTTCTTAAAGCTGTGAGGCTGTAAATTCCCCAGCCAGAGCTTTTGGGACTGTTTTCCCCTGGACCTTGTAAGAAACGAAGCTTCTCTACAGGTAGAAAACTTTCACGTCCTGTAGTTGAGCTTCCAACTATAAGACTGAACTAAAATGGTTCCCTTTCTCTCCTGAACCAGGAAAAAAGGGCAGAACTAAAACTTAACGATGATAGACAGGTGGCTAGCCCCATGACTGCAGCCTAGCAGGAACCATCCAACTGCAAAATGCATGGCCAGAACAAGCACATGCAAACGCTCAAAGAATGAAAGGGAGTTTGGAGCTCTTGGTACAGCCGTACCAGCACAAAATGTTTGAGGGGTATTGCATTAGAGCATAAAATGGTGAGGAGGAGAACCATGAGCTCCTTGGAGAAAAGACTGGATATAAGAGAAACGAATGAAAGTGTGAGAACTGCATCATGTTTCTCCCACATCACGTCCAAAGTGACTTAGGACTCATTGACAAACATTGCATGACATCACAACTGCCAGAGTAAAGCTATATAAGTCTCCGGCTTATCCAAAATGAATTTTTAAAATAATACTGTGTTTCAGAATCTGCCATACCTGCTACCACTGCGAGCAGAGATAAGACAACATCATCTGAACAGGACAATCCTATTGACTGCCCACCATCATATTGTCTCAATGAAGGAGTCTGTGTTTATTTTTCAGCTCTCCAAGCTTTTGCTTGCAAGTAAGTACTGAACTCTTTCTCTTTTCCATGCAGTATGGTGAACACTTCTTTGCAATGAATAAGAATATTTTAATTGTGGCGCAATGAAATAGCATGCAGATATATTTTTTTTACAAACTGTGTTTGTAAAATACCCAATAATATGCTGTTCCTGTATTTGTTGTTGATGGTCTTTAACCCTTTTCTTAAATGTATAGTGACCTTAAAATAACTCTATTATAGGGTTTTTTTTTAACAAGATTTGTTCAAAGAGAATTTGCCTTTGCCTGCCTTAGTGGGTGAGATATGAGACTTGTCTAAGTTCACTCAGTGGGTTTCCATGGCCAAATGAAAATTTGAACCCTGGTCTCAAGTGTCGTGGTCCAACAGTCAAACCACTATACCTTACTGACTCACTGTTCTTGCATGTTATATACTGATATCAGGGGTTGTGTTGGTTGCAGTAATTGCTATCACAATTTTACACTAGATGGCAGTGTTTCTCCATTCATCATCAAGGTGTGGATACTAAATTCCAAAATAAACTTCAGAGAAAATATTTTCGCCTTTCCTCTCTTGGACATAGCTGCATATTTTACAGCTTATTTTGAAAAATAAGCTTCCCATGCAGAATAATGTTAACATGCTTTTTGTTATGTTGTGTCAGCATCACAGATTAGAATACACAACTGTTTAACTGCCGTAATACAGTTGACTCTCAGTCATCTGACTGAGAGCAACAGCAGCAGGCAAAAGCAACAGGCAAAAAAAAAATTAGAAGAAATAATTTAAAATTTAAAAAATTAAATAAAATCAATTTTAGCAGGAATGTTACATGAAGTTAGGCTTATCTTTATTTGATTTTAATTACTCTATTTCAATATTAATACCAAGTCAAAATAGAGTTTATGGTATGTATATATGGTATGGTTAGCCCCAGCTTCTGTCAAGCTAGCAGTTCAAAAACATGTAAATGCGAGTAGATCAATAGGTAACGGCACTCCATGCAGTCATGCCGGCCACATGACCTAGGAGGTGTCTAGAAATGGAAATGAGCACCAACCCCCCAGAGTCGGACGTGACTAAACTTAATGTCAAAGGGAAACCTTTACCTTCTATATATATAAATTTCCTACTGGCGTCCAACGGGGAAGCAAAACTCTAAAACCCCTCCAAAAAACTCTACCAAAATTGCCATGCCCCAAGGACAACCCACTAGGTACAAACTAATCCACTCAGAAATCAAAGCCACACAACAACAACCACAAAAAACGGGAAAACAACTGAGCATGCGCACTGGCGCAAACTCCCCGACGCGCGCGCACCCTCCCCCCCGGCGGAGCGCACACACACACTCGCATGCGCACGCCCCCTCACCCCCCCGCGCGGCACACACACATGCGCGCGCCCCCTCCCCCCCCGGCCCGGCACACACACGTGCCCGCCCCCCTCCCCCCCCGGCCCCGCACACACGCGCGCGCGTGCGCGCCCCCCTGATCCCCCCCGCACGGCACACACGCGCGCGCACACCCCCCTCACCCCCCGGCGTGGCCCCCTTCTAAACCCATCCCCCCTCCCCTCCTCCCTCTTACCCCTCACGTCACCTCCAAGCCCCGCCCCCTTCTAAACCCATCCCCCCTCCCCTCCTCCCTCTTACCCCTCACGTCACCTCCAAGCCCCGCCCCCTTCTAAACCCATCCCCCCTCCCCTCCTCCCTCTTACCCCTCACGTCACCTCCAAGCCCCGCCCCCTTCTAAACCCATCCCCCCTCCCCTCCTCCCTCTTACCCCTCACGTCACCTCCAAGCCCCGCCCCCTTCTAAACCCATCCCCCCTCCCCTCCTCCCTCTTACCCCTCACGTCACCTCCAAGCCCCGCCCCCTTCTAAACCCATCCCCCTCCCCTCCTCGAGGGAGCGAAGGAAGGGGGAAAGATGTAGAGAAAGAGGGAGGGAAGGAAAGAAGGAAAGCGAGAAGGAAGAAAAGAGAGACAGCAGAAGAGAAAGAAAAAGGGGGAAGGAAGGAAAGAGATAGAGAAGGAAGGAAGACGAGAAGGAAAGACGGGAAGGAAGGAAGGAAGGAAGGAAACAGGGAGTGAAGGAAGGAGGGAAAGAAGGGGAGATAGGGCGAAGGTTGGCCACAGCAACGTGTGGCGGGTACAGCTAGTTACTATATACGGAATATAGTATTCATTAGGCCTATTTTAATAGTAACGCTCAATCAACCAGAAACTACATTTAGTCAACATCTGCCCCCATGAGAGTCAGTTAATTGAAAGTCTACTGTACATGTTTTCTTATGGGCAAGATTTTCCATCTCTCCATCATCAGCAACAGTGATACTGGAATATTTTCATGAATTTAAGGTGGCCAGATACAACCTTTCCACTGTTTGATGAAATTAGATCACTATAAAATCAAAGTACTGGTTATGATGATCATTGCCTTCTTTATTGCTTATTGTTTTTTGCCAATTGGACAGGTGTGAGAAAGGTTATTTGGGAGAGCGTTGCCAGTTCAGTGACCTGGAGTGGTGGACACAACAGCATGTGATGCAAGCAAAGAAACAGAACATTGCCACCGCTTCTTGCTTGGCTGTGTTGTTTATGCTTCTCCTCCTTGGAGTTGTAACTTTCTACTGCTACAGGTATGGCAATCAGGAGACTGTTGCTTTACAGCACTGGTGGGAATCATACATGACTTGAGATGCTGTTGGACTGCATTTTCCACCATCTCAGCCACTGACTGTGTTGACGATGGCTGCACAGACTTACAGTTGAACAATTTCTGGAGTATGGATGTGACATGACCTTATTAATATGTGGATCCTCAATGAAAAAAACAATACCTTAGAATTTGAGATATCTTGCTGAGGAAAAACTATCCACTTCTGGGCTTCACTTGGAACAGGCATTTCCCCAAAGAAAAGTAAAGTTTCTTCCTCGGAAAACACATCTGGGGCAAAAATCTACCCATACATTTTGTAAACAAAGCACTGGTTTCTGCACAAAAGTATGAGGTTTTTTTTTTTTGCACATATTTGGGAAAACCATATCGGAATCATTGCATAGGAAGTCACATGGTTATATAAATTGTATTTTTAATGCAAACATTCACCTAACTAATGCAAATACTGTATAAAAACGCATGCAGTTTCCCTGCAGGTATTTTTTTGTGCTGAAACCAACATTTTTTCATAGGAATTTGTGTATTTTGTAGGCCTGTTTGATCAAGAAAAAATTTGTTTCTAAAATCAATTTGTAATTGGGGTGTTTTTTTGTTTCGATATTTAAAATATTTACAAAACTTTCCAAAAAAAAGTTTTGGTATTTACGAAATTTTGTAAATATTAACGAATTTTTAGAATATTTTTTGTATTTTTTAAGAATAATATTAAAATAATATTAAAAAATATTTTAAAATGGAAAATTAACCAAAAAATGGCCCAAATGTGGACCAAACACAGGCAGGAGACAGCAAATGAGAGCACACACCAACAGAAGAGTCTTTTCTTTTTTAGAATATTTTTTAAGAATAATATTAAAATAATATTAAAAATAATATTAAAATAATATTAAAAAATATTTTAAAATGGAAAATTAACCAAAAAATGGCCCAAATGTGGACCAAACACAGGCAGGAGACAGCAAATGAGAGCACACACCAACAGAAGAGTCTTTTCTTTTTTAGAATATTTTTTAAGAATAATATTAAAAAATAATATTAAAATAATATTAAAAAATATTTTAAAATGGAAAATTAACCAAAAAATGGCCCAAATGTGGACCAAACACAGGCAGGAGACAGCAAATGAGAGCACACACCAACAGAAGAGTCTTTTCTTTTTTAGAATATTTTTTAAGAATAATATTAAAATAATATAAAAAAATAATATTAAAATAATATTAAAAATTATTTAAAAAAATATTAAAATAATATTAAAAAATATTTTTAAATGGAAAATTAACCAAAAAATGGCCCAAATGTGGACCAAACACAGGCGGGAGACAGCAAATGAAGCAAGCAGCACTCACAGCAGCAAGGAATGAATCCAATCCAGTTGCTAGCCATTAGCCAAGCCAACCCAATGCAAACTCCCTCGCCCTCTGCAGCAATGAGCTACGGCCGCGCGGAGCCGCTTTGAAAGGGCTCGCCGGCCAATCAAAAACAAACAGCCACGGACCCACGGTGCACTGCTTGGGAGCGCCGGATTGGCTCCCAGGCACCAGCACTCCAGCAGCCTCCACCTCATTAACGAAACGAGCGGAAGCTCGTTAAATCTATGGGGGTTGCTGGTTCGATATTTTAAAACCCTTCCGGGTTTGGAAATGTGTTTTGATATCGCTTCGGAAATGCCAAAAATAACGAATTAATAACGAATTAACGAATTAACGAACGAAACCGCACAGGCCTAGTATTTTGTACAAAATGAATTGTCTGTGCAACAAACCTTTGCATGTTGTTATACCAGTGGCTCCCAACCTGTGGTCGGTGGACCACCAGTGGTCCACAAGAACTACAATATGGTCCGCGGGCTCACCGTTACTACACCATTGCAACGAGAGTAACTGGTCTCTCGAAACCCTCTTATAATACCGAGGCTTATTAAATATGCCCAAACTCTCTGCTCTGAGACTCAGTTAAATCATGCCAGATCCATCTGCTCTGAGACTCAGTTAAATACTAAGTTGTAGGAATATAACTGAAAAAATACATATGTGTCTACACAATGATCCCAAATTAGCAATACCTGAGCAAAACTTGATAATGACTTGGAGATATCTCGTGCATAGGATTGTCATAAGTTGATACATAAGTTGAAGTTGACTTGATAATGGTTAACATTACAAAACAATATTCTTTCTAATGTAAAATGACTATGTTGCTTTACCCTCAACTAGGGAATGACTGCTAGATCCCTCCCAAATTGTATGCCATAGTTTGTCTTATTCTTGCTATTTTCTGAGGAAGCTGAGTGCTGTATGTGGATCAGGAATATGACATCGAGCCTCCTTAATGGATTCATGTGTTTACAGTAGAATGGTCATTTTAATATTACTGAAAATAGAGTCCATTTTTGTAATTTGGGGCTCTTGATTCATGTAGTCTCTCTTCCATCTAACTTTTCTGCAACCTGTTCCCACTTAAAAACAAAAAGAAGACGCCATTGTTTAGCCATGATTTACTTTCCTCTTTTGCCAACTGGTTTTGATCAATATAGCTGTTTATCTTGAAAGCAAGTTTTCAATTACACGCTTGACTGGGTTTGTACTACAGCTATTAGTAGCCTAACTAGATCAAAATGAAACCACTGATCTAAATCCCCCTTTAACTGGAGTCCAGAAACCAATATTTGGATTGGGATTGCTATTTCATTTTTACTCATACTCTGCTGTATTTTAAGTCATATTGATTAACTTTTGCAAGTGGGTCTGTTGAAGTCCTTCCCTTCATCCATAAAACATAAACTCAGATTGCCCATTAATGTGAGGCGTGCACAGGAAAAGGGTGATGCTGTGACAAGGCTTTTTAAAGACCTCACACATGCACTCACACACCTATGGAGACACACATTTTCAATTTTGCTTTTCCCTTTAGGACATTTAGAAATGCAACAAGGTGTTGCAGCATCGTATGTTACCATTCTGAGTTCCTGGAAAACATGCCCCTTCCGGGATATTCCATTCACATCTATGTGGTCTATATATCTTTATCTAGAATCCAATAATAATACAGTGCATTTTTAGTGTCCAAAGTTCTTCAGTGACTTTATCTTGGTAATTTTCATAAGCGGGAAGAAGTTGTCTAGTATAAATGAAAACAAAATGGTCTCAATTCAAAGAAAACCTTTCAGTAACATATATGATTGGGTTGTTGTAGGTTCTTCCGGGCTATATGGCCATGTTCTAGAGGCATTTTCTCCTGATGTTTCGCCTGTATCTATGGCAAGCATCCTCAGAGGTAGTGAGGTCTGTTGGAAGTAGGAAAATGGGTTTATATATCTGTGGAATGACCAGGGTGGGACAAAGGACCTTTGTCTGCTGGAGCTAGGTGTGAATGTTTCAGCTGACCACCTTGATTAGCATTTAATGGCTTGGAATTAAAGGATGGGGATTCAGTAGTGGACTGGAGTTCTAACTTCTAACCAGTGATGGCTGGTGGTGGTCAGTCACAGGTTAATGGGATGGTGAATCTATTCCTAGCTTTAAATGAGCTATCCAAGTGGTGGAAACTATCTAGGAATAGCGTTCAGAGCCTCAGCTTCTTTAAAGTGCGTATTAAAGTCTGGAATGGAGTCAAAACCTCACTGGCATGAGATCCATTAGCCACCACTGCTTTCATATGATTTGAATGATGCCATGCCTGTGATGTCACAGGGTGGTCACAGCCTTTTCTGACTGTATCACTGGCTGGTTTTTGCAGCAGTTATTGACCCAATTTTTCTTCTTCCTTGCCACATGGGGAGGGGAGGGAAAGTGTTGGTTTAAACTACTGGAGAACATTCTCACAGCCAGAGCTTAAGCCTGGGAAACTTCTCTCACTTGCCTTTTTTCCTCTGTGGGGGATAATGTGGACAGAGAAGCCCACTTCAGGACTCAGGTTGCAAGTTCAGGTATACATCTGTGGCTAGCATCTAACAATCATGGTCTTCCCCACACATTCACTTGTTGATAATGTGGACCAGCAAGCTTCCTCACTGTCATCTCTGATCTGTTAAGTTTAATTAGATTGTGTTATATTGTCAAATGTGTTTATTTTGATGTAATTGTTTGTATGGTTTCTTTCTGGCAATTGGATGTTTACCTTACATCTTGGAAACCACCCTGAGTCCCCCTGGGGAGAAAGAGTGGTATACAAATAAAGTATTATTTTACTGACACAAAAACACAGTATGACACAGCAAAGAGATCTATATGCTGAATTTCGTATCACAAAATCACAAGTCAAACACTTCCCAAGCATTTAGGAACGTGTGATATATTTTCAAATGATGCACACAGATCCAACTAACGTGGGCTTTTGCAGTTGACAGGTTGTGATTTTGTCAATGTTTATTTGTTTATTTACCACACTTTTATCCCGCCCTTTTCAGCCCAAAGGTGACTCAGGGCGGCAATGTTTATTCTTTCCAAATGCCGGCTGAGATCTTTTGGCATGGCCCCCAGTGTGCCGATTACCACTGGGACCACCTGTACTGGTTATGCCAGAGCCTTTGCAGTTCAATTTTGAGGTCTTGATAACAGCTGAGTTTTTCCTATTGTTTTTCCTATTGTTTTTCCTATTGTTTTTCCTATTGTATGGTGACATCAATAAGCCAAACTTTTTTCTTTTCCACAATAGTGATGTCTGGTGTATTGTGTTCCAAAACTGTCAGTTTGGATTAGGAAGTTCCACAGTATTATATTATTATTGTTGTTGTTATTATTATCTTTGAAAAGGGGTAGGATGTCTCTTAACGGGCGTGTGCTCTTCTGGACAAGTCACCCTTCAGATTGGGGTGACTTGTGGGCTGAAACTTCTCCTTCCCTTTTTGTTTTATCGTTTTGATTTTCAGTAGTGATGAAAGCTGCCAAAACAAATTAGATGTATGCTTGCTCAGTACCCATTTCATGCCGGGGCATTTTATTTCCTTCTCCTTGTTATTTTACAGTAGGCAAAAGAGGTTATATGGGAGGAAACCCTGTGGAGAACCATTAAGAGATCCTTGCAGCAGTGCCGGCGGTAGCAGCAAAAGCACCGACAGCGAAAATCTTCCAACCAAGAAGCCTCAGGTAATTCTATATTAGCATGGAATAGTGAGAGAAGGAGGGAAGAATAAAAAAGCATTAGGGATCCACCTGAGATTCACATCTTAAATATATTAAATAACTGCTGGGGTTATCGGGGACTTTGCTATGAGCACCCCAGTTCCTCTTACCTCATTGTTATATTACCCATCAAAGTTCACAGCTGCCTGAACACATGGAAAGCAGGAGACAGTGTTATTGTTAACTCCACATACACCAGTTGGAGGGACATGTTCTATATTAAGGAATACCAACATGATGGCATGACTTATTCTCACAGCAGAGATGCAAATGCACTTTATTTCTTAGAGGCAAAGGCTGTAATCTTCAAATCATTTAGGTATATGCCCCCACTCAAGTAAGCGAAGCATTGGGGTGGGAGAGGCTATCCCCACTTAACTTGATGCAGAATCACAATCCAAGTGTTTTATATGCTACCTAGGGATGCTCTACTTGGAAAAGATGAAAATGCCTATGAGTATTGAATTCATTTGGGCAGCAGAGAAGTGAAACAAAAGGAAGAAGAAATGAACTGATGATATCTTCAAATGTTACTTCTTCTTCTTCTTCTTCTTCTTCTTCTTCTTCTTTTTACAGAAACTAGTTCTCTACCACCCAGACAGAACAAAGTTCTTTTAATACTAAATTTTGAAGCCAAACAAATTATGCTTTTTGTCTTTACTTTCCTTCCTTTTTTTTATACAAGGCAACAGGTAAAAGATGTAATTTGCCAGTTTACTGAGGACTAATAAAACCAGAAGGGTACATCAAAATTGAAGGCATCTTGTTAATTTCAAACTGTTCATGACAGCAATAAAGCTGCCCATAGCAGCAGTTGTTGCTACAGTTAATCCCAGCTACTAATATAATTTTCATTCAGTATGGCGGTTAATTAAATGTCTAAACAGTGAAGTGAGTCAATAAAATAAAATCTAGCTTAATCTGCTGTGGCATACTTCTCATGGTTGATTTTCCCTCCTCTGTATTGCTTTGGTTGATATTCTATGGGTCTGTTTCATGAAGTTATCAATTGCAGTTAACAGAATCCAGTTTTTTTTAGTCTGCCTCAGCTTCGATTGACAGGAATATCAGTAATTATGCCAGAAACGAGATGGAAAAATTGGGATATATGCTTAGGAGTGAGTCATGATAAATATATATTGTTATATGTCTATTTTGATTTTTGGAGCCATTTTATCATTAGCACCTAAACATTTTTTTTAATGGCCCATAAATGTTAGCTGGTATTCTGTAACTCGGAATTTAAATACACAGCTACACATGGAAATCTAAAAGCTGGTAATACATTCACCACATGGTCAGTATTACTATTTTTTTTCAGGAGAAACAGCAATATCTGAAAGCCCACGAGACCCTTTTCCCTGCCCCTTACATTAAAGGAGGCTGAAACCAGATAAAAACCACTTCTTTCCATGGGACCCTATATGATACAAGAGACAGTGCTCCAGATTAAAACCATTTATTTCTATTGGATAATATTGTTGTTCCCCAAGCCTCATATGATATTAAAGACTCATGTGATGACCTCAGTCCTCTCCATGCTTGAGAAGAGGCTGAAGTGTCCTACAACTGGGAAATTTCTTAATGTCATAAGGCCCCTAAAGTGTAGATATCCTTACCCCCCAGTTTTCAATCTGGCAATCCTAATTGGACTGTCTGTTTTTGCAGTTAATTGTTATGATGGAATGTGATGACAACAACAAAGACAGATCAAGTGATGAAACAGATTGCAGTACGGAAGAACTTCGATATTTTTGCCTCTCAGAAGCCTGTAAGCACCACTTTTGCTATATTTTTGTAGAGTATGTTTACTTCCATAATTTAGCAAGAAGAAGAACAAATTGACACAATTCAAGTCTGATTTCATGTCATTAGATAACCTGAGTAGGGGCCCTGAAACCTTTTAAACAGAGGGCTAGTTCACGGTTCCTCAGATTGTTGGGGTGTCAGTCTATAGTTTGAAAAACACATGGGAGAATTGTTATGCACACTGCACATATAGTTATTTGTGGTGTAAACAAACATGAAAGAACAATACAATAGTTAAAATGAATAGCAATATTAACAATTAAATGTGTTTTACAATGTTGTAACCTGCCTCGAGCCATGATGAGAGATGGGTAAGAAATAAAAATGTTGCTTTTGTTATTGTTGTGATTACTAGTATTTCAATAGGAAGTGTGGGCCTGCTTTTGGCTGATGTGATAATCAAGTTAATTAGGATTGTTGTTGCTGTGTACCTTCAAGTTGTTTCAGATTTAGTGTGATGCCAAGTCTAAAGTTTAGGATAGGGGCTTGGTAAATGGCAACTACAATTCTTATTATGCCCCATATTGGCCAAACTATGGGGCCACATCTGGCCTTAGTTTGGGAACCCCTGGTCTGAGTGGTTTGGTTGCTCTCAAGATTGAAACCTCTGTTATCAACTGAACTACAGGGCAGGCAGTTGCATGAAACATGTGCCATATAAGACAATATTGTTTTCTTCATGCTGTAGTAGGCATATATTTCTGCAAAAACAGTTAAAATGAGACTAATGTGTGTGCTCCTGTCCAGTTAAGTTTGATTTCTCATTAAGGCAATGCTAGCTCTTAGGTACATTTCTCAGCTTACTTAACAATTTAAAATATTGCAGAAACAAGACATGCTGGAAAAGGAAATCCTCCTTTCTGATACCCTTCAAGATAACAATAATTCCCTTCCTCTGTCAAGTATCATGTGGCAAATGTAGTTCATTTGTAACTTTAAATTATATGTCTCTTGGTGTGGGAGATGTGACAAGGTATGGTTCCTGTCTTACTTCTGCCACTTGTAATTAAAAAGTTGATGACCCCAACTCCCCCCACCCTTATAAGTTATAACGAGGAAACTTTGATTTTCTAAAGAGGGTGTACATCAACAGTCCCACCCACCACATAGCCAGTGGTCAGGTATCTTGAGTACTGAAGTTTAAACCATCCAGAAGGCCAAAGATTCCCTGCAACAAGAGTTCAGGGCCAAATAGTCACTTGAACTCAAACATTGCTAATTCAACAGATTCCCCTGCACCAGATGTTGCTGGAATCCAGTTCTCATCAGGCCTGGCCAGTTTGGCCAATGTGGGGCATGATAAGTATTGTAGTTCAGTCATCATCTGGAGGGCCAGGAGTTGTCCATCTTATCCTGCATCACTCAGAGTGCCACCTTCCTTACCACTGACTATTTTGGGTAGGACTAAATATTAGGATGTCTAAAACATTAGGAAGGCCAGATGTTAATGGATTATTGTGATTTAAAAAAAATTGGGGTGGGGGGTGGGGGTGGAATTCCTTTTCTTATATATCTTTAATGAAAGTGTCAAAAACTGGTTTATACAATAAAGGAATTAAATAAGGCTTGCTTACCTCAGAGATTTATTAAAAGAGTCTGGATATATTTTCATCTGATTTTCTGTGCGTGTACATACTTGTGGATTTGTCTGTCTTTGAAGATTGCACACTTGTGGGTACAATTGGTTTGAGTAACTGTTCTCTCTCATTCTCTCTGCCCCTCCTGTTTTTCTTCAGCATGAGCAATGGAAACTTGGACAGAAATGGGTTGCAGAGGAAGTAAGCGATCAGGTCTCCATCTCCAGCCACCCAGAAACCTGAAGTCTTTTGTATCAGAGAACAACGATGTTTGCGTGCACCAAAACAATCTATGAAGTGGCACCCGCTCCACATTCACTCTGCCTCATGCAGACAGCTTAAGACAGGCAGATTAAAGACCCTCTCCACTAAGCTGAACATAGGACACTGAGGCTCACAAATAGTCACAAAGTATATTTTTTTGGAAACAATTTTAAAAAGAATTTTGAAAACATCCAAATGAATGATGTGCTGCTCATTCATACTGCAAATCTCTGTGTTCATAGAAGGGGAGTGAATATAACTGTCCACTTTACAAACGACATAGGCTAACACATCTTTGATAATATGCTTCAAAGGTGACTTGTAGAATCAAGCATCATGGAGTTGGTAAAGATCACAAGGGCCATCCAATCCATCAAGTAACAAGTAAATGGACACCAGGAAGAGAACTGGGGTTGTAATTGGTGCTTGTGACTCATTTGAATCATGGTCAGAATTATTGTATTGCAATTAATTTCTCCAGGTTCCATTTTCAGGGGTGGGAAACACTGCCTTAATAACACTCCATGCTCAATATAAGATTGGAAGAGACTGGAAACAACTTTTATTAGTTATAGTTCGCTCTCAATCAATCTAGCTGTTAATCAATGAGCCGGATGCTCTGGCAGGAAGGAACAACCAAAGTGGGTTCTCCCTGCATGTTCCCTTGCCATGAGGGGGTTCAAAAAGGCACTAGCCCAAAATGGACCATACAATACCAAAATATTGCCACACATCTCAAATACCCCAAGTAGACCACTTCCATTAGCAATACTTAATATAAGGCAAATGTAAAGATTTCCCCTGACATTAAGTCTAGTTGTGTCTTACTCTGGGGGGTGGTGCTCATCTCCATTTCTAAGCTGATGAGCTGGCATTGTTCGAAGACGCCTCCAAGGGTTGTGACTAGCATGACTGCATGGAGCACCATTACCTTCCCGCAGAAGTGGTACTTCTTGATCTATTCACACTTGCATGTTTTCGAACTGCTCACCTCACTCCCTGGATTTGCATCACCAACCTTTTGGTCAGCAAGTTCAGCAACTCAGCAGTTTAGCCCGCTGTGCCACCAGGGGGCCCTTAATAATACCCAGCAATAAATGTTCTGGATCCAAGACCCATGCTAACTGTCTCCAAATGTTGTGACAAAAGACAAGTAATCCAAAATAGACTCCTACATGAAACATGTACATAGCTCCCCACTGAGATGTCACTATAGAAACAAAGTCTGTTGACCATGCATAAGAGGAGGCCATTAAATTTTCTTCCTGGACTGTGGTGAAAACCACATCCAGGCCACTTTGGTCATCCAAACTGTGATTTAAAAACATTGGCTGGTGTTCTTGCTTCTGCCTAGGGTCACGTTGGCCTGGGGAGGAAGGATCTGCCAATTTGCCATAAAGATGGACTGCCCAGACTCCATTAGTATCCTGACCCCACAAACAAATAGCGCTGCAAGTTACACAGTTACTTTTTCAGAAACAAAGTATTTCTCTGTATTGCATTTGCCAGTATTTCTAATGTTCAGAGTAGCCTTTTCTTTAGTATGAAAATGCTAATGCAGCCTTACAAAGAGAAATAATTAACGAGGCAAATGTTTGCAGACAAGACAGATTCATGTACTGCGTGTTACAGCTCTGAAAAATCCTGTGGAATCCTGTGCAAAAGAGTGCCTACTAAAGGCTCTTAACTATGCTCAAGTGATTTATCAGGAAACAAGGGCTAGCAAATCTTCAACAATAATTATATCTGTATTCACGGCAAGGTTTTGTACTGTAAATCATCCCAGCTGGTGGTTTTGCAAATGGTTCAGTACGGGAGCCTTGCCATTGTCCAGCGGATTCCAATTTGGCAGCTTTAACAACAAATAACATCTGACAGGCCTGTGTTTACCAATGATCACAATTTTTGTTGGACATTTGATGAACCGAAATGAGTTGGCCTTCTATCAAACCGACGGACACTGAAAATGAAATAGAATTAAATATGCAGTGAAAACATGACACACATGCAAGTATACAGACCATTTTGCAGACATTGTTTGCACTTTATTCTAGAAAGAAGTGGTTTTTTTAAAAGATGAAACATTTTACATAAACATGACCTAAAGGTCTTCAAAAGCACATTGCACACTTTGCCCCCTTGCTTTCTTCCATTATTATCTATGCTACATATCCGATCACAAGGTATTGATTATGAGGCTATAGTTTGCCATCCCAATCAATAATATTTGGGATTGACGTTGAGAGGTTTTTTTTTTACTAGCAACCATATAAACTACTTTGCTGAAGTTAGCAGTAGTAATTGTGATCTTGTACATTTATAATGCATACTGCTGGCAGAATTCAAATGCAGAACGGTCCACGGGGAACTCTTGATTAAAATAGAGTTTCTAGTGATGCCTATGAGAAATTATTATTTTAAATACTAACTGAAAATAGATTTTTCAATAGATTTTTAAAAAATAGGATTCACTTGCCTTTACTGTATTGATTTTACAAAATCTATAATACTGACTATATAGAAATGAAAGTGAATTATTTTTAAAGTAAAATATATATTTTAAAAATCCAAATTCTAATTTAGCATATTAGTAAAACTAATATATTTACCTGGTAGTTGTAAATATGATTATTTAAGAGGAAGCCTCTAAGAGCTGAATGGTGCTTACTCATGAGAAAGTGCATATAGGATTTCAGTCATAGGAAGCTTATCTTGGAAGTATTGTTGTCTTTCTTCAACAATCAGGATGGAATTATTTTTTCAGCCTGTCAACCTTAGATATTAATTAGTTAATCTAAGCAATTAGTTGATTAGGATTGAAACACTTCTAATTAATCAGTTAGCTGATTTATTTTTTAAAAGAAATGATCACTATTTTAATCTCCCTCCTCCCAAATCCTCTGGATTCTGGGGACTTTTAAAAAACATGCATTTTTTCCTTCCAGGTTGTGTTTGCTGTGATGAAACACTTAAAAACAAGTTGGGTTTTTCATTGTTTTTATTCACATCCACACTTATGCAACTGAACACTTTAAATACTACATTAATGGAGCAAAACTAATACATTTGTGTGTGCTAAGATTTCTGAAAGAAGTTCCTAGCACTTTACTATGCACAATGCATCATTCAAAATTATTTTCAGATAATGCAAAGAGACTGACCCTACTCATGTTCATTACCAAGCATAAAATTTTAACTTTTTTCATATATAGAGGCAGTCCCCAAGCTACAAACATCCAACTTACAAATGACTCATACTTTAGAATGGGGGTGAGACAACAGAAAGTGTGAGAAATCCACCCTTCAGAAGGGAAATTCACTCCTGGAAGAGCTATCATGGGGAAAAGATATCTCCGCTGAAGCTTTACCACCAATCCTTGTTTCCACAACAGGCCATTTTTTTCAAAATCTAATAATCACAAGGACAGAAAGAGGTGAAATCTTTAAAATGTACATGTTCTGACTTACAAACAAATTTAACTTAAGAACAAACCTACAGAACCGAACTTGTTCGTAACTTGGGGACTGCCTGTTCGTTGTTCTCCATTCCACAAGGGCATGGCCACACTAAGGAATATATCTGCAATTGTTTCTTATGCTCAAAGAAAAACGTTTTGACACAATAAGTCAACACTTTGAATTGCTAACTACCATGGGACTATTTATTCTTGGGTAAAATTTAAACATTTTCTTTTTGCTTCTTGAAGGGATTTTGTGTGTACAAAAGACATATTTGACTCACAATGTTTTCTGAATAAAAAGCAATGGTCAGAATTGTGTGGATTTATGCTGGCAGAAATCACAGCCACGTTGGCTGCTTTTTCTTTTTTCTTTTTACTATTAATGAGCCTTTATAAGGTGCAGTTTAGCCATATTTTCAAAATAGCAATAAGAGATTGTTGAAATTCATTCCATCACAATTGCCAATAAGGAAGCATCTATGAAGCTTGGATTCTACTGAAATACCAAATGAAAGTATTTATTTCAGTTCATTTAGACATGTAATTTTCTGTAAAATTAAGATATTGCTTACATAAGCAATTTGTATGACGTACACATTTCTGCTTTTATGAGGGCACACATCAAAATATGTAGATTTTTTGGCATTTTGTTCAGTTCCGGATTGGTCTGGGTGGTGCTATAGAAAGATTCCATTTGGATGCCACTTGCTATGCCATTCCATTCAGATCTGCTGGCTGAACATCAGCAATCAGAAGGATCTCAGCCAATGTTTTCTCTGCATATGAAATTTGAACCAAAGTGTCCCTAAATGTGAGAAAACATTTTTAAAATGTACAGTCATGTAATTCTTTACAGCGTGTGATGATGCTTGCAGGAGGATTTGTTTTTACCCATCACTATATTGTGGTCTATCTATCTAACTATATTTCAAAGAGTTTTATTTCATTTTCACACTTATATACTATAAGAGTGGGGAGAAAGGCCACAGAAAGTATAATACGTTGATTATGTTTCTTAGTAAGTTGGGTCTATCCATAAGTCTTATGTACATCCAAGAATGAGGAAGGGGGGCATTGTTATACATATTCTATTTATTAAAGCAGTTCCATTCACAATGTGATTTGCTTAGGAGAAACAGAAATAATTGTTTTTTCTTTCCTTTTTTTAATTCCATTTGTCTTTCTTGTTGATCTTTTTTCTTCTTATATTGTCCCATATTTTTCTTATCTTCTTCTCTAGACCTATACCATTAATATTTCTTTTAATATTTCTTCTAGTTACATCCTCACTTTATTTATACGCTGCATTTTCTATTTTCCCTTCTGTCTTCTGATTTCCTGGCTGCAGTCTGTGTCTGCAATAATCTTTGTGCCTAGAAATACAAAGTCTGTCACTGCCTCCATGCTTTCTCCCTCTATTTTCCAGTTATCAGTCAGTCTGGTTGCCATATACATTCCAAGATACTCTGTGAATATCTGAAACTGTGGATAACCTTATACTTTGACCATACTTGAGCCAGAAGCATACCACAAAATAGCACTGGAAGATCTAGAGAGGCACAAAAACATATTTTTGGAGTGTAGGTATTTGATTCCACAGATAGGGAGGTTGTAGTATGTCCTAAATCAAGAGAAATCCAATGCCAGTTAGGAGAAATATCTTGATATTGAGACAAATAAGAGAACTACCTATTAAAATTGGGTGCAGGTCTTCATGCAGTGACAGCCATCTATTTGTCATTAGATTATGTAGAATGAATTGGGAGGAATGAATTTTGAAAATACTCTTAACACACTACTTAGTCTCTCTCTTCCCCCTCCGAACAGAAATAAGAATTTGCAATAGAAGTGTTTGAGTGACATTGATAAAGACATTCCTTCCTCATCCCCCACCAGCCATCTGCAACCTGCTATGTCAAAATCTGTATTAGAATGGGTTATTATGTGCCACCCAGCTAGCTGAAAGAAAGGTGTAAGATAGATCTTGCATTTGGATAAGCTCTTTAAACACTTACTTCTAACAAAATATTGCTTTCCAAAAACGTATATAACAGTGGAGTACCTTTCCAGTAGAAAAGGTTACAGTCAGAAGATCACTTCTTGAAATGTAAAGCAACAAG